TGATGACAGCATAGCCAGCCTGGCTCGTGAGCAGGATTTGGAAGGGCAGACCAGTCACTGTGGGCAGGGAATCACCCCATTCAGCTCCTGTTAACTCTGCAAGCCAAAGCCTTAATAGGTAGGCTGGTCCTCGCTGGACAAGCAGCAGCAATGCTTGCCAGAAAGCAATATCAATGGCAAGCTATGAGGTTATAGGAGGTTATACTCCAGCAGTACCCCAACACGTATTCTGGGGTCCCCAAGTCTTGGCTCTTTCCACCCTGTGCCCACTACTTTCCAGAATTAGGTAAGCAGGATATGCACCCAGACAAAACTCCGTACCCCCATCACACCAGTGCTTGCCAGGCTCCACTGCTCCCAATTACAGAACAGATTGATTTTAAGATCCTCTCACTCGCTTTCAAACCCCTTCATGCCCTGGCACCTCCCTACCTAAACAAACTACTTATTCCCTACTCTGCCACCCGCTACCTCCGCTCGGCTGGCTCCGGCTTCCTGCTTGTCCCTTGTCTCCTCCGTTCGACCATCAGTGGCTGTGGCTTCAGCCACTAAGCCTCAAAACTCTGGAACTCTCTCCCTCAAACCCTCCGCCTTGCCCCATCCTTCCCCCACTTTCAAAACCTGCCTAAAGTTTTTACTTTTTGAAAGTGCTTACAGTCACCTCCCTCTTCCCTTTGCTCGTTGTCAAACGCTGCCATTGTCAAGTGCTCCAGGAGGCCACACCACATGAAGGGCGCTACATAAATGCAACAACAACAATTTACAGTTATATAGCCCCCTTAACGCAGGATAGCGTCCCAGAGCGCTTATTGCAAGTTGTTGGCGGTGGTTAAGATTTGCTTTAGGGACGGTTTAATCTGACAATAGCTCTGGAATAATTCTCTGCTTCCTAGGTGGATGACCTTATATCATGGCAACCAGTAAACCTTATCCAGTTCTCAAGGTATGCCCTGATCAGAGCACTCTACGGTTTGAGAATAACTTCTGTGGTTACAAACTTAATTGATTTGCAATGCAGCCCAGCATTCTGTTTGCCTTGTTTAGTGCTGCCTCACAGTTTCGACATGGCGAGAGACAAGTGAATTAACACCTTTAGTTCTCATTCGATTTCCTCCTCATTCATGGTATTCATGCATCTCCTGGTTTTACCTCCTAAATGTATATCTTCCATTCTACTGATCCCTGCCTGAATCATACAGCATTTTCCACTTGATCTGAATCTGCGAGGCGATGCTGGACTTCCTCGAATCCAAAGTCGAGGGCATCCGCTCAGCTGCCACTGCATCTGCTATCCGTTCCCCATCTCCTCCTCCCACCCCTCCCTCCACACCTTTGAACCTGTCTCTCCCTCCTCGCTCATCACCACCATAACCTGTATGGAACCCACCACCTGCTCCTTCGACCCCATCCCCACCTCACTCCTTACCTCCCATCTCCACCTCCTTGCCCCTCTACTCACTGACATTGTTAACCTCTTCCTGTTCTCTGGTACTGTTCCCACCCCTTTAAAAAAACGCTGTCATCATTCCTATCTTTAATAAACCCTCCCTGAACCCTTCTCATCCCAGTGCTGATATATTCAATGCAGATCAACTGAAGTTAAAAGATAAAGATGGTTTAAGGTTATGGATGTGATAGTGCTTACAACATCCTGCAGAGTGACTTAATACAAATGGAGGAAACATAAATGTGAAAAAGTAAATCAGCCTATTAAGCCTATACCATAGACAGCCACACAAAAGCTTGTAAAGGATAGAGATATAGAAATTTACAGCATAGAAGAAGGCCATTTGTCCCATCGAGTCTGCCCTTTGCTCTCAGTCACACTGTCATGCCATATCCCTTTAACACATCAAGCCTTTATCTTATATCTTTTATCACTGCTTTTGATAACCTTGACCACTAAATCCACCTCCTCTCACCTCAACCTTCATGGTTCTGTCCTTGAATGGTTCTGATCCTACCTCTCACACCATCTCCACTTCATTTCCACAAAATATTTCTCCTCTAGCCCCAGAACCATCTCATGCTGCATTCCTCAGGGCTCCGTCCTTCAATTTCTACATGCTCCCTCTTGGTGACATCTTCCATAGACACGGGATCAACTTCCAAATGTATGCGGTTGACACCCACCTCTACCTCTCTGCCTCCACCCTTGACTCCAGGACCACTGCTGTCCTGACACAATGTCTGTCAGACATCAAGTCCTGGATGAGAGCTAACTTTCTTCAGTTGAACGTCAACAAGACCGAGGCTCTCCTGATTGGCTCCCGTCAGCACCTCCACAACTCAGGTGCTGACAGCATCACCATCCATAATAATAATAATAATAATAACCATCCATGGTTGCACACTCCACCTCACTAAGCCAGTCCGGAACCTTGGGGTCTTGCTTGACCCTCAACTATCCTTTCTACCCCACATCTACGCCATGACCCACTCTGCCTTCCCCCACCTCCGCAATGTTGCCCAGCTCCATCACTGTCTCACACCGCAGGCCCCCGAAACTCTCATACAGACCTTCATAACATCGAGGCTCGACTATGCAAACTCACTGCATGTCAGACTCTCCAACTCCTCCATCCACAGGTTGCAGATCATCCAGAACTATGCAGCCCGTGTCCTCTCCCGACCAGGCTCCGCGACCCTATCATCCCCATCCTCGCCCAACTCCACTGGCTTCCCATCACACAGAGGATACAGTTCAAGATCCTGGTCCTCACCTTCAAAGCCCTCCACGCTCATGCTCCCCTCTACCTCTCTGACCTCCAAACCCCCTATCACCCTGTTCGCTCCCTCCGCTCAGCGGGCTCCGGCCTGCTTCACGTCCCCCGCCTTGCTCGCCCCACTATCGGCGAACGGGTCTTCCGCCACTCTGCACCCACCCTCTGGAACTCCATCCCGCAGTCCCTCCATCTTGCCCCTTCCCTCGCCACCTCAAGACCCTCCTCTTCGACTGTGCTTTTGATCTCCTTGCTTCACCCCCTACCCTGCCCCCTCCCTCACCCCGACCTTCCTACTCGGGTCCGTAACTCTGTCTGTCCAGCACCTTGGGATGTCCTCCTGACGTGAAAGGCGATATACAAATGTAATTTTGTTGTTGTTGTTGTTACACTAACAAATATGAGAGAAATGTTTCATGCTGGTCACGTGGAATGATAACCAGCTCTGAATCATGCCAACACATCCTGTAGTAAGTCACAGTGGTATCCAGTACCAGTGAAACAATCAACACAAATAGAATTAAAACCATATGCTTAAAGTATGAATTAGCTCTGGTTTTGGTTCAGTCTCAGCTATCAAGATGGATTGTTTTACAATGGTTTCTTCGAGTGTTGACTGATATAGTAACTGAGTTGAGATAAACTACAGCTGTCGAAGCTGATTTATATGAACAACCCATAACAATTCTTACTCATCGGAAAAAAGTTGGAATTGATTTCTGTTTAAGATATAAATATGGATTCCAGCTTGAATGCTGGCTCAGGAGGTTTATTCAGTGAGTAGATGAACCATGGAGACCAGGAAGGCATCATCCCAGTTTAATTCCCCAGTATGTGCTGAGTTGGCTGCTCTTAACTGGGGTAACGCTAGAGACTTTCACATCGGAAGGACGTCCCAAGGCGTTGGACAGACAGAGTTTCGGACCCGAGCTGGGGATCAGGGTTGGGGAGGGTAGAGGGCAGGGGGGGAAGCAGGGAGATCGAAAGCACAGTCAAAAAGGAGGATCCTGAGATGGGTGTTGAAGGAGGCAAGGGAGGAGTGAGGCGGAAGGACTGCGGGATGGAGCTCCAGAGGGTGGGGGCAGAGTGGTAGAAGGTCCGCCTGCCAATAATGGGGTGAACGAGGCATATATAGTAATGCATAGGTTTGGAAAATATCATTGAGATCACCTTTGATTATAGCATGGTACAGTTATAGTGCTACAAATGCATTAAATGGCGAAATGATTATGTTAGCAAGTGACAGGCAACGTTTTAAAAACAAACTCATGGAATGATAATATATTCATATTTCTGAAATGCATTAAGAATGGATTATACGCTTTAATAAAGAAATGTGATAAACCAAAATATACAATTGCTAACGTTTTATGTTGTTGGGCGTTTAACAATTAATAATAATAATCCTTGCATTTGATATAGCGCTTTTCACGTCGGGAGGACGTCCCAAAGCGCTTCACAGAACACACTGTAAAGTGAATTGACTGTATATTTGTGGGCGAACGCGGCAGCCAATTGCGCACAGCAATGTCCCACAAACAGTCGTAGATTGAAAATGACCAATTTATTATTGTTGTTGATTTTGGAGGGATTATTATTAGGCTCTGTGTGGAGTAAGGAAACTTGCCCAAGGTTTCGCCCTGTGCCTGGAATTGAACTCAGGTCTCTCGCTTGCAAAGCGAGTGCTCTAACCACTGAGCTACAGGACTCCACCAGGTTGGGGCATTCAGTTTCTCCAAGTTATCAAAGGACACGATGTTGGATGCAAAACTCTAAGGCACATTTGTGCAAACCTTTCCACCACCAGCATTCTGTGGAAGAGACGTGTAGAATGTCAGTGAACCCTGGCTTGCTTCATGGCCCTCATAATACTACATGCCCCTCACCCTAACTGCTCCCAACATCAGTGGGCAGACGGGTGGTTTTCATCCCCTCTTCCTCCGCCCTCTGAAACCCCATCTTTGAGTCCCTCTAACTTGCTCCGCTCTCTTCTCTCGTTCAAGGTCCTTATCCAGACCTAACCTTTCGACGTCTTCAGACGTCTTCCAGATGTGAAAAAGCGCTGCTTACAATGCGAATTGTAAGCGTGCGGAAAAGAAAAACCAGATTTCGATGCAGAAACAGAATAAAACCCGAAAGTGCTCGACCACAAGTTTGCAGAACATCAACATCAGGCAGGAAAACGGGACAGATGGTCAGAAAACCGGGTAGAGAGCCTGTTGGGTCAGCGTTCAGGGGTGACTGATTCCCAGAGACATCCTCGCTCTGGTGAGTTAGTGGCTCTGAGCAGATGGAAATCACTGCATGCGACCAATTGGCGTGTGGGGGAGGCTGAGGGTAAAAAGCTGTGGGGGGATCGAGAGCAGCCAGAGACACTTGGCTTGGAGTCAGGCAGTCAGTCAGTGAGTCAGTGTCTGGGGGTCACAGTCTCCCTCCCATGTGCTGAACGCATCACCATCACCATCAGCATCACACCAACCGCAATGAGGGCTCAGGGCTCAGGACTCGGACTCGGCTCTCTCCTGTGGGCTGTGCAGGGTGTGCTGTTCCTGGCCACCCTGTGCCAAGCCCGGTCCAAGGCAACGCGTGGAGTGGTCGTTCCTTTCGTGTTTGATCCCGAGGCGAAGTGCGACCCTCCCTGTCAGCACGGGGGCTTGTGCATCAGGAACAACAGCTGCTTCTGCTCCAAGGGATACGAGGGAGAGCTTTGCCAGTATGGTAAATAAGCACCCACACTGCTGCAGCGTGCACCCAGCACCCACCCACACCAGCACCCACCCTGCACCCACCCGCACCAGCACCCACCCAGCACCCACCCACACCAGCACCCACCCAGCACCCACCCACACCAGCACCCACCCTGCACCCACCCACACCAGCACCCACCCACACCAGCACCCACCCTGCACCCACCCCCAGCACCCACCCACCCACCCAGCACCCACCCACACCAGCACCCACCCTGCACCCACCCAGCACCCACCCACACCAGCACCCACCCTGCACCCACCCACACCAGCACCCACCCTGCACCCACCCAGCACCCACCCTGCACCCCTTGGCCATCTCCTCTCTGGTTTCATTCTTTATTGCAATTCAATTCTCTCTTCCTCTCCCTCTCTCTCTCCCTCCCTCTCTCTCTCTCTCTCTCTCTGAGTCTTTTTCTCCCCCCCCCCCCCCCATTCTCTGCATCTCAAGGGTTTTGGAGTGAATTGAGTTTTTAAGGAAAATTAAGGGTTAAAAAAGGAACAGTTCTACTGCACCCTATGTTGAGGCTTCTCTGCTGTGACTGTATGTTAAGGAAGCCAAGTGATTGTGAAGCTTCCTCTGCGATCAGCATCCATCAATGATAGACAACAGAGAATCTGTTGTATTATTAATGGAAACTGTCTTCTAATCGCCAGGTACTGTTTGACTGAGAGGGGGTTATATTGGTAACTGGGGAACTGTTACTAGTCAGATTGCACTGTAAATTGCAGACAGATTCAGTCAGCAAACAGTACATTTGGGAGGTCAGTGAGTCCAAGGGAAATACTGTACAGATCCAGGCAAGTTAACGTTGTTGGTAAGTTGCTGACTGACCCAGTTCAGTTCAGGGCGATGTCTGAGTTGGTTTATTGAAGAGAACAGAAGATGCTGGGCAATAAAGCTCTAGATGCACAGCAAGGGGGAGGCAGCTGTGGGAAGCCATTCAGTCGCATTTAAAATGCGGTATTGATTTCAAATTTATTGCTTCGCCACAGCTGGAAATTTGGATAAAGTTAACTTCTGCGTTTCTAAACTCGAGTGTACCTCAAAGCAAAGCTCGCTTGAGATTAGCAGTTGTTTAAATTAATAGTAGTAAAATAATCCTTCGATTTGATACAGCACCTTATCGCTTCATCGAGGTGTCTCAAAGAGCTTCACAGAATATACAGTAAGGGGACTGTCTGTATTTTGTGGGTGAAATATTTAAAATATATATTGATTTTTAAAATGTGTTTGACATGTTTTATTGTTTATATATACTGTGTATTTATATATATATACTTAAAATCTAATTATGTATTGAATATGATTTCAGTGACTTGTTACCCGAAGTGTAAAAACGGTGGAGAGTGTCTCCGTCCCGGAAAATGCCGCTGTCCTCCTGGAGTTGGAGGAAGATACTGTCACAAAGGTACAACAAGGGGCGAGAGAGAGAGAGAGAGAGAGCATGAACGAAAGGTTGTGAACTGACTAATTGCCTTCTACAAACCTTCTCGGCTTTGCTTCTGAATTCAAAAGCACTTCTGACTTACTTTTCAAGTCTTGATCTACATGAGTGAAAATAAATGAACAGAGGGTCAGAAAACCAGTGTGGATAGTTTGAATCCTGTCATTGTTGCTGTAATAATGGTGGGGAGTTGTTTTTAAAGCCCTTTGAAACAATTTGTTGTGTTGGGAATTTAATCCGGTTGCTGTGTTTTGTACCTAGTCAGACTGGGAAATTCTCCCATTGAAATCCTAAAGCTCTGATCACCTACGCTTTGGTTCTTGGCAAATTATGAATTTAAAGCCAATCTGTTCATCTGAATATGTCATGCACTCTTTATAAACAGTACGCAAGGGCTGGCAGAATATAACCTTGTTTATAAAGGGACCTCCATCAATAACTGGGGTCAGAACTCCCAATTTATTTCCCATTGGTTCATACAACTGATTATTTGGGACACAAACTTTGCAATTGGTCTCCAAAGTGAAGCTACCATATTTCTCCCACAAAATATAGTCAATTGACTTTACAGTATATTCTGTGAAGCGCTTTGAGACATCTCGGAGACGGGATAAGGCGCTACATCAAATGTAAGGATTATTATTAACAGAAGTCGCTGGGAACACTCAGCATCTATGGAGAGAGGAAAGTTAGTTAACATTCCAAGTCGATGATCTTTCGTCAAAATTTTGCCTTTTATTATTATTAACAATGGTCATCTTAACCACTGCACAAGGAGTGATTTTTTTATATTGTTAAAGAGCCGTTTGCACCAACAAAGATACTATAGCATTGTTGGAGACATGAACAGCAGGGACTAAGTATCACAGTGGGATAGCACATTGCCCTTTCACCTCTAGGTTATGGGTTTGGAGTGTGCCTAAACTAATGGAACAGAAGACTTTTCCCTTCTGCTGGTTGGAAGAGCGCAGAAGGGAAATGAACTCTGCCAGGGAAGAAAATCCCCACCCCCTTCCCCAGGCACATTAGTTGAGTCCCTAGGAAGCACTAATTTAAAACTCCATTTTGTGGCCTAATAGTGTCATTTCAACCTGCAGGTTTGTAATGTTTCTTAAAGTATTCCTAATAAATGAATGACTTATAAATTGATTTATTAAGATAAAAATAATCCTTACATTCGATTTTATGTCAAGGGGATGTCTCAAAACGCTTCACACGATATGCAGTGACTGTGTATTTATGGGCAATTGTGCATTATCAAGCATCACAAATGTGGTACTTAGTTAGCATGGTTACCATTATTTTTCTATCCCAATCAATCATTTGTTTATGCACTTTTGATCAACATCCAAGTTCGTCCAAGGTTAATTTATCCCTCTTATTGTCTCTGCAGCTACTTGTGAGGGTGGTTGTTTAAATGGTGGGGAATGCATTTCTATCAACAGTGTTGTGAAGTGCCTGTGCTCCTCTGGCTGGACAGGGCCAAGATGTCAAGAAGGTAACAAACATTTCTGATTATATTTTGTTTTAAATGAAGTGCAAAATGAAATTCTTGCATTGCTTCAATTTGCTTAAGGTAAAATTATGTTTGTGCAATCCTCAGATACTTCATCAGTACGTTGTGAGCATTAGGGATCCTTTAAACATCTATCTCATATCTCTTCTTCCTACCTCAGCAATTTGTCCTCAAGGGTGTCGTAATGGTGGGAATTGTGTGGCACCAGGTATTTGCAGTTGTCCAGATGGATGGATTGGTGGAGCCTGCCACTTAGGTAAGTCAGAACCTATCGATGAGTTGGGAGAAATTCCACCCAGTTCTAGGTTTATTCTATTAAAGTATTATTTAAGAGCATCCAGGATTTGGCACATTCTTAAATACCATCTTAGTATGTTTTCTATGAGTTCTTTGAAACAAAAACTTCAGAAAATTGGCTTCAAATTTAAAGCTGAACAATTTGCCAAATTCTGGATGCTGTAAAACAATAATCTTTAAATATGATTTAGTATCTTCTTGTTGAGCGGCTGAATCAAAGTGTTGCACTGTATATACTGTAAAGGGTAGTGATTGGGTCGTTTGTAGCCAAAAATGCTGCACTAATAGAGTAAATCTAGAACCAGGTGGAATTATTTCCCAGAGAATTGCTGCCTTTTACTGCTATGAAACTAGCACACAGCTATAGTAGAAATAGAACCAGTGCCATTTACAGCAGAGATATAGCACTATATAGTACTACATAATAGGGGCATGATATGGTTTCTAAAGGCAGGTAACTGCTGATGTACTTTATGTTGCAAAACTTAAATTGTCTCTCAGATCAATTCTCCATGTTAAACATCTGCTCAAGGCCATATTTTTCCCCTGCTCTTAGCCATTACATCTTTTTTATCTTGAAATATAATATTGCTCAGAACGGTGGAAAATTCTTGAATTCTGTTGAAGCCAATTCTTTTTAAATTTGAATTTAAGAAGGTAAGTCACAAAGATGTTATCTAGCAGTTCCAGTCAAGGGAGAGAATAGAATGTTTTTGTGAAAATAACCAAATGATGAAGAAGGGAACTTTATTGGGTAGGCGCCGAAGGAAATAGAGACTTGAAGCAACTTGCCGCATTAGATCTCATTAAAGCATGCTTCATCATAATGTGGCTTTGCTTATAAAGTGCCTGTGCTACTGAGCAGCTTCAATACAGGAATTGGGAGTACACAACCTGCACGTGTGAATAGGTTAGGTTGTGTATTGCGAAGCTGCCAGCTCTGCAGCTCACATCTGCAGTGGCATAGTGCATTAGAAGGCAGATATTTTGGCTTCCTTATATTGCCTCACACTGTGTACTGAAAGATAGATGATTTCTTGGTCATTGGGTCATTGCTGATGTCACTTTCTGTGGTCTGTACGTGTGCAGGATTCCTGCAGCTGACTGTTTTTAGGTCTTGATCTAGTTCCCTTTTGAAAGCTAATATGGATTCTGCCTTCACCACCCCTCCCCGGCAGGGCATTTCATATCCTAACTCCTAACCTCCCATGTGAGTATTGTTAAAGTCCTAGAATTACTGTTGCTTTTCTAAAAACATGGTAAAAATGGTAACCATGGCATTTTCCCCCAGCGGTCTGTAAACTCCCTTGCCTGCACGGAGGAAAGTGCATAGCTCCAAATGTGTGTCGATGTCGTGGATTCTACACCGGTGCACAGTGCAAGCGAAAGCAAAGTGAATAAGGAGACATTTCCTAGAGAGAAGACCATATGCTTGTCTTCATTTTCACATGAGATTGGTAAAATCTTACTGGTTTGATCTCTGCAATGACGATGGAGTTACAGTGCCCAAAACTGGGAAATGAATGGAATTTAAAATAAAGTAGGTATTTACCTTCTTATAGCAACTAAAAGCAATCAGTGTGTGTTTTGTATATTGGGGTGGGGTAGGGGGAAAAGAGTTAGGGGAGTAGCCTCTATACGCTTTCTTCTAATGTACTGTTCACTTTCTGTGTATACACATTCCTATTAAATGTAATGAAAGGTTGGTGCTGGTATATTACTTTTAAGATTTTAAATTCTTGTGTACAATCCTTTTTTTAATCAAACACAGCAGTTTTCAAAACTTAAGTTTTTAACGCCTTAAGTTTTAACAAACCTTAATATTACAGTAAAATTTTACAATGGTAATGTCAGTGTACTATTTGTAAACCCATGTACGTGTTTTCTTATAAATAAATGATGATCTTTACGTTTGATATAACGTCTTTCACAGCAGAAGCTCTGAAAGAGCTTGACACAATTTACTGTAAAGCGAATAGCTGTTTTGTAGGTGAACAAAAAAAGGATAGTTTCAAGAAATATTAAGAATTCTTTATGAAGTGACACATGAGGAAAATAAGGGTCAAGTGGCCTCTAATTATGACGTACATTTCCGTGGGAAATCATAATCACTTTCTAGTATGCTGAACCTAGTTTACAGAAGTGCTCTCACCTCTTGGAAATCCCATATGTATTCAATTTACATTTTTATTGCACCTTTCACATCGGGAAGATGTCTCAAAGTGTTTTGCAGTGCTGGCTGCTCACCCAAGATGAGAGTGAGAGTCGAGAGAGAGAGATGACTGAAAGCATGGTCAAAGAGGTGTTTTGAGACTTGCCTTGAAAAAGGGAGGGAAGGAGTTGGAGGTAGTCTGGGCTGGAATTCCAGAGAGTCAGAGCAGAACGGTTGAACCCTCCCCCCACTTCCCCCGCTGCTGATGAGGTGGATAGTGTGGGGGACATGAAGCAGGCCAGTGTTCGCTGAGTGAAAGGAGCAGCTGGGGCAGTTTCATAGGAGGAAGTTGCAGACATAAGATGGGAGGAGACTGTAGAGGGATCTGAACGTGAGAATTTTGAACATGGGGGATGGGGAGTCAGTGGAGCGATAAACTCTTCAGATTTATATTGGATGTTATCATTAGTTACTTTAGCTGTTTTCTTTGTTTTTTCATGCGTCTTTATTGTTATGTTATTTGAAGAATAAGATTATTATTTTATTCCTCTTTTTTAAAAACTCACTCTGGCCTGCCCCAAAGATGCTGATGTGCTCTCTATTCCCTCTCATGCTGCTGAAGAGGGATAGAACATTGCCTGCGATCATCAGTTTTAAAGCATAAAATAAGTGTGATATTGAGTCCAGACACTATTCCCAATCCAGGCTGCACTCAAGTTTATGATGGTTTGATATTATGACAAAAATACCCCCAATGATGCCTTTGGGGGGAAAAAAAACAAGGTAGGTAATAAGCTTTAAATGAGATTAATAGCATTCGAGGGGATCTGGAGAAATTGAATCAGTGGGTGAAGGAATGATAATGAATTTAATGAAAGGTAACGTATATTTGTGCAGAAACCATGAATGCCTTGTCCATTGCTAACAGTTGAAATGGAAAAAGAGATTACTAAGAATTCAATCAAGGCAGTCAGTCACACTAATATGGTTATTAGCCAGGCTAATCAAGTTCTGGGATATATCTTTTTGGTTGGAAAAAAGTATTGGATGTTATTTCAATTGATCAGAATGCTCAATAAATAAATTATGGGAATCTTACCTTCAGAGGGACATTCATGCCCTCTGTTTTCTCTTAAAATAACAATATTTGTTAGATACACACGATTATTTCTAGAAATCAGTAATATTTCTTTATTATTAATATGTCAAGGGTTTGAAAGAAAAAAGAATGATTCTAAGACTTAAGGGTCTTAAGATATGAAGCATTTCATTGCATTGAATTTAATTTCAAAAAAACGTCAGTGAATGGAAGACAATTCAACAGTTGAAATTTTTGAAAGTGCTGTAGGTCATTTAATTAAAATTTTAAATGCAGGTAACAAATCTGTGATCACAGGACCGGGGAACAGAAGTAGAGTAAAAATAGACTAAACTTAACTGAGGTTTGAGATTCAGAGATGGGATAATAATTAAAATGTAATCTGTATGACAGCATTGAATATTTTATCTAAAGAAAATATAGGTCGGAATATATAGCAGTATAAAAATCCTTACATTTGGTATACTGCCTTTCACATCGGGAGGATGTGACAAATTGCTTTGTAGTATTTATTATCAAGTGTAGTGACTGTGTACTGCTTTCCTCCACTTCTGTCACATTGTTCACTTCCATCTGTACTTTACCTCAGACTCAACACAGCAGAAACCTTCATCCACGCTTTCGTCACCTCCTGTCTTGATTATGCCAAAGCCCTCCTCGCTGGTCTCCCCAGCTGCGCTCTACACAAAATCCAACTAAGTCAAAACTCCCAACATCCATATACTCACCTGCACTAAACTCCTTAACCAATCACACAAGTCCTGGTCAGGTTCCACTGTCTCCCAATCACAGAACGGATTGACTTCAAGATCCTTACACTCGGCTCAAAATCCCTTCACGCCCTGGAACCTCCCTATCTCTTTGATCCACTTACTCCCCACTCAACTACCCGCCCCCCCCCACCCCGCTCTCGTCTCCTGCTTGTCCCTCGTTCCCTCCGCATCACCATTGGCAGCTGTGGTTTCAGCCACTATGCCCAGAAACCTTGGAACTCTCTGCCTCAATCCCTCCACCTTGCCCCTCCTTTCCCATTTTCAGATTACACCTGAAAACCTTCCTCTTCGATCGTGCCTATGTCACCTCCTCGCTCCCTCCAGTTCGGTGTCAGACTCCGCCACTGTTAAGCGCTCTGAAACACTACCCCCGTGAAAGGTACTCTACAAATACAAGTTATTGTTGTTTGTAGGTGAAGCGCCAACCAATTTGGGCACATCAATGTTCCACACACAGCCCTACCCCCAGCTCGAGTCTGAAACACTGATTGTCCAGCGCTGAGGACGTACTCCCAGCATGAAAGGCGCTATACAAATGCAATTTTGTTGTTGATGCTCTTTTCAAATAGTTCCATTTTTAACATCCATTTGAACTAGCAGAATGGACCTCAGTTTAACATCTCATCCAACGGTTGACACCTCCAACAATGTAGCGCTTCAGAGTCCCAGGACTATATATTGAAGTCCAGACGTGGAGTTTGGCTTGAAACTCAGAGACAACAGTGCTACCAACTCATGAAATGAGAATGGTACCAACTCAGCAGGCTGACACATCTCGTTCTTTAATAACCACCATAGTGAAACAGAAAATTCCTGCTCTTTTCAGATACTGTAGTTCCATCTTTAACATGCACCTGTTCATTCAATTCCTCAGATCTCATGCACAGGTATTGCTAACACATCTAGTACTTTTATAAACACCATTGTAAAAGGGAAAATAACTCAGGCTATAAACTGCTTACATAAACAAACACAAACTCAATACCAAGGTTTCATGTGTTTATTCTGAATGTACAGGATTTACAACGCGGCAATTAAAAATAAAGTTCAAATATTCGTCACGTGAAAACCTCAATGTTCACATAAGTGATGTTTATATACACAGAGTTTGATATTTAAAATAATTCAAAATCAAGTTATTGCTCCTTTATATGACAATAAACTGGTGTTTTCTTGCTATATACACAAGGAATTTCAATATTTTCATGCCAAATTTCAATAATTTAATTTGGATAAAAATCCCAAATCCCACAGAATTTTGAGAAGGGGTGAAGAAGTACAGCAACCATTATTGCTGATAAGATTTGAATATTAATGCTTTTGTTTTACATATAAAAGTAGTTTAAAGCAGTAAATAATTTCACTAAATATACTCAATTTGGTTATCAATTTTATATAAAATATTCACTTTAAACCAGGACTGTGAGCAAGGAGTTTATACCGTTAATTTAACAGTGAGTTAACAAGAATACTGTCAGGGCAGATATTAATCATATTTAACTGTGAAAAACAACAAACTTCAATTACTGATTATATCCCTTGGAGCCAAAAGAAAACAAACACAGCAATGTATTTGACTTAATATACATGGATCTCATGCAGTTGTTTGTAAACATTGTCTCCTACTAATTTCCCAGCTCACTCTTGCTATACTGCCATATGATGCATAATATCTCACAACATTTTTAAGAAAATAATGTCTAACTGGACATTATTTTTTATTTAAAATTTATTTTGCAATCTCTATGGTATTCCTTAATGTTAGTATTCTGCATGTATTTATTTTGATAGCTTCGGGAGTAAATGGTTTGGATATACAATGGATAATAGTAGTTATCTTGCCTTATTCACTTCTTTAAATCTCATGCACCAAGTTTTGCTGTGTAGACTGTACACTGCAGTGTAGCAAGGTTATGGTTATACCAATATACCCCAGGCACAGCTATATGCATCCTGTTGTAATACATGTCCAGTAAGTCATGCTCTATAATTAGCCAAAATGACAGTGATTTGGAGTTTGTTAAGGGGAAATGCTAGTACAATCCTTCCATAGCAAAATATAATTTAAAGTATAAAGGATCTTTTTAGTGATGTGAAAGGGGTTGTGGTTCGGTTATTAAAAATTAATAAGACAGTAGATAACACTTTTCTTCACACACAGGGATGTGAAGATGTGGAATTCTCTGCCCCAGAAAGCTTTAGAGGCAGAATCAATAGGGATGTTTAAAAGAGAGAAAGAATTCGCAGCAAAGGTATTGAAGGGTAAGGTGAAAGGGGAGGCATTGGGATTAAAATTTCAAATCACAAACTAGATGGGCATGTACCCTCCACAGTCCAGGAATACTGAGGTCAAATGTATCACCTCAACCAGTATCAAGTTGAGTTAATCCTAATCCATACAAATCAGTCCAATTTACAGTCTTAGTGACAGACAAAATCTTTTTTGAGCACATGTGCATTTGGCTGCAAAATCATTAGGGCAGATTTCAGTGAATCAATTTGAACCTGGAAATAATTATTGATGCAGAATTCCGATTTTGGATTAAATGCAATTGCAAAACTAAAGAGACACCATAAGAGAAATTGAAATAAAGTTGGCAGTTCTGCAGCAGGTGAACATTACGAGAACATTTCATCAACAAAAGGTGTTTTTCTAATTTAATTGGACCATGAGTGACTGTACATTGCGGCCTGTGAGGCCCATTTCACTGTGAAGTAAAACTACAGAAAGAGACAAAAACATTACATTCTTAATCTTCACAGTACTTTGTATAATTCTGTTGAAACTGCAAGCACGTTACATTACTATAACAACTGAAGAACACCATTTTGTGATACTCAATTGAAAGTCTGGATGTGGTTTTGATCAAAACCCCATGGTTTTAATTCTTTAGTTTAATGCAGTCCACTCTTTGATGTTTGCAGTCNTTTTTAATTGAGCAAAACCAATTCTGGCTCTCTTACAACCAACTTCAGCATTGCACCACTCCTCCTTGTTAGTGATACTGCATTAGCCCAGTCTAATTGATACCTGTATTGGGGAGATGTAGGGGAAGGGGGGGAGGAAGAAATTATTACTTTTTAATGCGTTTCTGGGCACCATCTAGGCTTTAGCACGAACAGCCACAACAAAGCCTGGTGAACAACAACAATTTATATTTATGTACAACTTACACCTATTCAGATGTGTCCCAAAGTGTTTCCCCCTCTACTGCAACCAAATGCTGTGAGACAGTGTTATATTATGTGGTACACACTGAGCAGGCAAATGAGAGATTTAAAGATGCTGATGAAAGGCACAGGAGTAGAGACGTGTTCCTGGGAAATTGTGAAAGAGGAGAGTGAAGTAGTGAGGGAAGGTGGTTTTGGAAGAGTTCAAGAGAATAAGGGCATGGTGGCTGGAAGCTCAGTCATAAAAATAAAAATCAAGGGGTTTATAGATGATTATATTGCTGTGTACAAATTGTTATACATAGCCACACAAAATGAAAACCATCCTGACATTTGCACGTAGAAAGGGAAGTAGGAGACTATTTGATGAGATTTTCACTGCACAATATGAATTATGGGGAGTGTGAAGATTTAATAAGGGGTTAGATTTTCAGATAAAATAAGTGGTTAGATTTAAGGGAATCAAGAGTCCACAATAAAAATTAATGAGATGTTAGAAAAACAGGATCTCACCTTTTTGCCACAAATAAAGCCAGAATATCCTGGACGACAGGAACAGACATTTGGAAGAATACATTTGCCACCATACAGGCATTTCTGTCGGCATACAGCTGTGGACATAACAGAAGCACATTGGACATCCAATTAGTACATCCATTCAAAAATCCTAAACACTGAAATGTTGTTACTCTCTATCTCACTGTTTCCCTTTTATCTTGCTTTTATTGTTTCTCTCTTTATCTCTGTGTGTCTCTCTACCTGTCTGCTTCTCTCTTACTTTGAATTTCTTGCTGTCTGTGCATCTCTCACCTACCTGAGTGTCTCGCTAACTTCCTTTCTCCCTCCTCCCTCTTTATATTTCTAAACTATGGACTAAAAATAATTCTAAACGCTTACTTTCCTTACACGAAAAAATATTGTTGCTGTAGAAATCAGAAGTTGCGTGCAAGTTTGTTAGGCTCGCAATGTTAGATCATCCATACTTGGAAACCAAGCTTGCAACCTCACACACAGTACCTTGCAACCTTATAGCCAAGTTCCACATGGGCGCAGTTAAACAGACATGCAGTTAATTGGCAGGCTGATCAAAGGTGTTCCACTATATTGAGGTTATTCAATTTATCTATACCCTTATGAACTTGAATGTTTCAATGAAATCTCCCGAAAGTCTCTCCATTGTAACTGACCATTGCCAACTTTCATAGTGTCTCCTCTGAATATTACAACCTGAAATTCCACCTGGTCTTATTTTGTAAAACTATTTTAATTTCAGTCTTAAAATGGAATCTGTTATTTTTTACAATAAAAGGCTTCTAAATTGAAACTAAATTTAAGAATTTTCCATTATCCTGAACAATCTTACAACAAAATAGTCTTGCAGGATAGCCTGGATGGATTTTCAGATTTCAGGGCAAATCACAGCCCCCAAATGAGTGCCCCAAAATGGATTAAAACATTGGCTATTGCCATGGGGAGACAATCCCCATTCTGCAATGCTGATACAGTAGCAGGAAGAAAAAATATTATACACATGATCTTTTAGCCCAAGATTTTAAATTCTATCTTACAATTGGACTCGAGGAACGGAAAGCAAGAAAGGGACAGTTTAAACAGCACATTTATTTTATCAATCGAATCCCAATTTACCAGTAGATAATCAGAAGAAATGCTATGAGTTTAGAAATACACTGTGTATGTAAAAAAAAACTTACAGATTTGACACTGTAATCCTTCCCAGCCTGGAGCACAATGACAAGTGCTGGGTCCTATACATTCTCCCCCATTCTTGCACTTCTCCAGACAAACAGCTAAGTTGATACAACACAAAGAGACATTTAATAATAACGCTTACATTTGAGATTGGCTTTTCAAGTCGGGAAAACGTCAGAAAGCGCTTCATAGAATATACTGTCAGGTGTTGTGAATATATCTTTTTCCAGGTGAATCCGGGGCAGCCAATTTGCATATAGCATTGATCCACAAGCAGTTATGAAGTGAATGACCAATTTTATTTGGGGGCTGGTGGCCAGGATAACAGGAGAAACTCCCTTCTCTTTTCGTGTAGTGCAATTGGATCTTTAACGTCCACCTGAACAGTCAGACAGGATCTCGGTTTAATGTCTCATCCAAATGATGGCACCTCCAACCACGCAGCACGTTCCCACCACTACAATGAAGGGTCAGCTTGGACTTTATCACTACATGCTTCAATTTGATTTCCATCAAATTCTAATAAGAAGTACAATAAGATGTGCAACATTTAAAACAAGCCACATCCTTTGTTCCATTGGTGCTGCCTGCATTCCACCAAATAATCAACCAAAATACACAACAAAAATACAAACTACATGAAAGATACTTACGTATGTGGCATCTTTTCCCTCTCCATCCTGACAGGCATGAACAGATATTGGGACCCACACACTTTCCTCCATTCATACACATTGGATCACAGATGCCTTTAACAAGAGAAAAGACACTATCATCCAGGAGTCACAGTTGAACACCACAAGTTTTGATGTAAAAGGTTAAATAGCATCGTTGGGGAGAGTATGCCATATCCATAACATGAAGATGCAAATAGTAACTGGATGTGCATCACATAGTTGCTCCCCACTGATCAAACCTTAATGGTGCAGGAGTTCCCATGGTTGAGGTAAGGGGCAATTACTGTAAAGAGTGGCAATTATTCACACCTTCTTGTTACAAATCTGAGGCCTGAAATTTCACCCAGCCTTCATCTGTAAGAACCTTTTTTGCCTGAACATTTAAGCTTGGGTAGAATTTTGGAGAAATTGTAAATATAACATCAATTTGCAAAACCATTTTTTTTTTAATCGCTCAGATTTTCACATTAAAAGTTTTTTTTTTGCACAATTCTACATGATTTTAAAGTTTATGAGATTAAGGTCTTACAGTGGAAATTACAGTGGAATTTCAGGCTTATCGTGTTTTGACGTGCTGCTGAATATCTCTGCATGTCCATGTGAAATGCAGATAAATAAGACTCATTTCCATTGCTGTGACACAGAAGTGTGTCAGTTCAAACCATAATAATAATAATAATCCTTGCATTTGATATAGTGCTTTTCACGTCAGGAGGACGTCCCAAAGCGCTTCACAGAACACACTGTAAAATGAATTGACTGTATATTTGTGGGCAAACGCGGCAGCCAAGTGTGCACAGCAATGTCCCACAAACAGTCGTAGATTGAAAATGACCAATTTATTATTGTTTTTTGTTTTGGAGGGATTATTATTAGGCGTGTGGAGTAAGGAAACTGTGCCATTTGATTGCAGGACCTCAATATTTGTCACAGTCTAACATATCAGCCCAGTGGCAGAAACTTCTCCAGGAATTTGGAGGACAAGACAAAAGATTTTCCATGTTTCATTAATGTACGGATCTTAGAACTATAAATCTACTACCAGAGAATAATGCATTTCCTCACCTGTAAAATCCTTATTGTTGTGTCACTTCATTAAGGATGTAACTTCAATAGCACGTTCTATGCATGGGTGCAATGTACAGGCAGTGACCTGATGACCCAGAAGTTGGCCATTTTGGGGGCTCACATATCGTGTCCGTGAGATACCGGACCTAGCCAACCACGTTATTACAAAGTTTCCCAGTAACCATTTTCTCTTTTTTTGTAATATACAATAGCTTATTTAGCCCAAAGGCTCAATTACTATAAGTTCCTGCCCAGGGGAATGTTGCACAAATGTTGCACATATACTGAATTTGCAATTACATCAACTGCAGCATTTCATCAGGAATGTTGGATTTTAGAGCTCAGTTCTGCGGTTTCAGTTATTTCACTAATAGAGGAAATGCTGTGCAGTTTGGTACAACTCACACTCTGGGGTCTAATATGCAGCAATTTCTAATGGGATTCTTTAATAAGGAAACTGATTGGGGGCTCCTTACACTAACCAGAGGCATGTCATGTTGACCCATGGGATCTCAACTCTGGAAGTGCAGACCTTGGTTCTGCACCACACATTCCTAATTTTCTTATTAGGGAATTCTATGATCTTATTTGGGGATTCTATTCAAACAACTCCTACAGCACAAACTGAGGACTGAACCTGGGACCTTCTCGGCAGGTGGGGTAAATAATGCACTGTTAATCAACAAGTATTATCACCTTATGTTTGACTCAATTGACTCCTAACCGTGTTTTATTTATAAATTAGCCATTAAACATCCCTTTTAAATAGGATTTTTATACGCTTTCATTTAAAAAGCAGTTTGACGCAGTGATGGAGGGACGGTTCTGTGGGTGTTCTGAAGTGTTGAGATCAGATAGGCCAAAGGGCCTTCTTCATCTGGATAAATCTTATGATCTTGCTCAACATCAAATAAACCAGCGGGTTTACAGAGACTTCATTTCCTCCCTCGACAAAGAGCTTTTATACCACTGACCACTATTAGCAATAAATCAATTTTTTTGCAAGTGTAAGTAAAGTTTGCATTGATATTGTTTGATATCTTTCCATTTAACATGTGGAAATTTACAGCACTGATGGAGGCCATTTAGCCCACTGTGCCTGCACTGGCTATTTGAAAAGCAATCTAGTTCCACTCCCCTGCCTTTTCCCATACCCTTGAGTATTTCTCTTTTTCAGATCTCCCCTTCTTAAAAGATGATTTTAACCTGAAGTTACCTTCATACATCTTATCTTAATGTATCTACTTTGCATATGTATATAATGTATATACTTTGCATATCTACTGTGGAGTCCTGTAGCTCAGTGGTTAGAGTACTCGCTTTGCAAGTGAGAGACCTGAGTTCAATTCCAGGCAGAGGGAGAAACCTTGGGCAAGTTTCCTTACTCCACACAGAGCCTAATAATAATCCCTCCAAAACAAAACAATAATAAATTGGTCATTTTCAATCTACGACTGTTTGTGGGACATTGCTGTGTGCAATTGGCTGCCGCGTTCGCCCACAAATATACAGTCAATTCACTTTACAGTGTGTTCTGCGAAGCGCTTTGGGACGTCCTCCTGACGTGAAAAGCGCTATATCAAATGCAAGGATTATTATTATTGCTAAAAAACGGGCTCTATGTTGACAATTACAATAAATCACGAGGTAAAATAACTGAATAAAATATAATCTGCAATTTTGTTAGAAAATTAGGGAACTGTACTAATATTTTAAAATACATAATTTAATTCTGAATAGACTGAAACATTTTTTTACTACTTGTATTTGCTTTAGTTACAGAACTGGTTTGCAACGAGTGACTTTAGCTTTTTGCTTCACTCCAGATGTTCTCTGTTTAAATTTTGCAACCGCACTGACACAAACCCATTTTGGATATGGACTTATTTTAAAAGCCTTAGTGCTATTATAGTGCAGATTAAAATAAATGAGGTCAGAGGCAAGGTTAATCAACTGAATGGATTGATACTTTAACAAGAGCTTTACTTTTCTGGCATCTTTTCCCGATGTAACCATCTGGACAGGAGCAGACGTTGTTCCTCATACAGTGACCGCCATTCTTGCAAGGAGGACTGCAAATTGCTAAAAAAAACAAAACGGTTTATTTAATTTTGAAGCTGACTTCATGGTTGATTTGTGATTTAGCTAAGTACACCTCCACTTCCACAAGCCCTGAAAAATGTGCCTCATCCTGAAAGTTAAACACTGCCAAAAGTGTGGCCAAAGGCACATGCCACTGCATACATTCTAATCAGGACCTGATGTCTAGGTTAGATCCTAAAGGAAACAACTGACCTTTTGTTCCCCTTCCTTTCTATTGACTGGTCAACCTGCAGACTGACCCAACTCTCATATCTATTGTTCAGTTCAGGTGTCAAGCTCATTGGCTCATTCAGTCACATTTTCACCTCTGAGTCAGAAGATTGTGGGTTCAAGGCCAATATCTCGACTTTGAATTCACAGTCCAGGCTGACACTCCATTACAGTGCTGGAGGAGTTCTGCATTGTCGGAGGTGCCATCTTTGGAAGGACATTGAAATAAGTTCCCATCTTCTTGTTCAGGTTAAAAATCGTGTGCTTTATTCGAAAAGAGAAATTAGTTTTTGCTGGTGTGCAGGCCAACAATCTGACTAAAACAATGTCTATCGAGGGTTTTGTTATTTCAGGAGATGAATCAATAACTGGATTTATTGGTGAAGTGGGTACAATAAAGTAATGACCCACACATTTTGTGAAACAACTTATATCTTTGTTTTATGTAATTATTACAAGGTTAAAAATGCTCAGCTTTCAGCAGGGAAATCTCTACAAGTAACGCCTCATGCCACTGCTGACACTTTGCCTGCAAGATCATCTTGAAGAGTCAGAGCCAAGGACTTACTTGCAAGTCGGCAAGACATACAGGAGATTCTATACTGAAAATGGAGTCTATATTGCAAGATGCTTTTTCTGATGATCGTTCAAGAATATCAAATTGTTAAATTCAGTCTTATCTTTGAAATTGGCCTTTTATTGTTCATACAAGAATTTACAGAAATGAAGCCTGAAGTTAAGAATTTGCCATTTCTGGATTCTCCAAAGTGCTACGTTAATTGAATAAATCTAGATTCAGGTAGCATGGTGGGATGCCCTCAGAGTTTAGTTATGAGAACTAATGTATACGTAACTGTCCTTATAGCTGTTAATTTTTAGATGTTTTGTATCACAAACATTTTTGTGTTCTTGGCAACTTGGCTTCAGTTAGAAATAGTTAAATAAAATCTTACCGTTCTGGCATTGTGATCCAAAAAATCCATTAGGACACAGGCAGATATTGGGTCTGATACACGTTCCACCATTTAGGCACACTGGGCTGCACACAGCTGTGTATTTTCAGACACAAGAAAATGATAGAATGAAAAATCTGAGCAGTAAGAACATATGCAGATGATTTGAAAGCAACTTGAAAAATGGATGGACACATAGTTTAGCTAAGGTTTGAAGGGTGGGAAGAAAGAAGAAGGGTTTGAAGGGTGGGAAGAAAGAAGAAGGAATACAACAACAACTTGCACTTATATAGAAAGAGGGGAGATACAGTGCAAGGTGGTGGGATGGAGGAAGAGTGTTCCAGAATTTTGGGGGGGTAGTGGCTGAAAGCACGATCTCTGATGGTTGGGCGCAGGGTGCGAGGGACGAGCAGGAGGCCAGTGCCAGTCGAGCGGAGGTGCCAGATGCTGGATTGGGGAGTGAGAAGGTTGGAGAGGGAGGAAGGTGCCAGGGAATGAATGGATGTGAGGATCTGGAAGTCAATCTGTTTGGTGACAGGGAGCCAGTGGAGCCTGGCCAGAACTGGTGAGATGAGGGTACGGAGTTTAGTCTGGGTCAGTATGTGGCAGCAGAGTTTTGAATGAGCTGAATCTTGTGAATGGTGGAGCTGGGGAGACCGGCGAGAAGTGTGTTGGAGTAATCCAAACGGGAGGTGACAAACGGGTGCACGAGAGTTTCGGGTGCATTTGGGGTAAGGTACGGTCGGAGGCGGGCAATGTGGCGGAGGTGGAAGAAAGCGGTTTTGATCAGTGATCGGATGTGGGGGAGGAAGGACCATTGGGGGTTGAACTGGACGCCTGGATTGCGCACTGGTTCACTGAGTCTGAGGGAGAGCCCAGGGGAAATTGAGGAGTTTAGATCCGCAGGAGTGAAGACATTGATGGGAGCCAAGGAGTAGGGCTTCCGTCTTGTCCATATTCAGCTGCAGGAAGTGTACACTCATCCAGGCCTTGATCTCTGCCAGACAAGCTGATAGGATATTGGCGGACTTGGTACTGGAGAAGGCAAAGTAGCTTTCTGTGTCATCTGTATATAAATGGAAATTTACCCCGTGTCTGCAGATGACATCGCCCAGAGCGAGCATATAGATAAGGAAACGAAGAGGGCCAAGGATGGAGCCCTGGGGTACCCCGCATGTGACTGGACAGGGGCGGGAGGAGAAACCATTTGCAGAGATTAAATGGGGGCAGTTGGTTAAGTAGGACTTGAACCATGCTAGTGCGGTCTCGCTAAGGTAGATGAGGGAGGAGAGCTGATGAAGGAGGATGGCATGGTCAACTGTGTTAAGCACAGCAGAGCAATCCAGGAGGCCGAGGAGGCAGAGGGAGGCCTGGTCACAGATAGCGAGAATGTTGTTTGTGACTTTGATAAGCGCTGTCTCGGTGCTGTGGGCAGGGCAAAAACCAGACTGCAGGTGCTTGAGGCGGGAGTGGAGGGTGAGGTGTGACCGAAGTTGACCTGCAACAATGCGTTCCAGGACTTTGGCAGGGAATGCAATGTTTATACAAGCCTTAGTGAAAGAAAGCCTTACTTGCCAGATCTGCACTTACAGACATCTGGAGAGACTCATTCTCCTTGTTTTTCACAGGGCCTATTGCAGAGCACTACAGGGGTATGGAGGTAAATTATTGCTTTATGGAAATAAATTATATTTATCATTTTCAAATAAAGTAAATACTCTTGAAAATTAATATCTATCTGTAGTTGGTTCCACAAAGTGGCGTCCAAATCTTGGCACGTAATAATATCTCCAGTGATAGTTGTGGAAAAGTCAAATGGGGAAGATGGGTGGGTAAGATGGGAGGAAGGTCAGGATGAAAAGGGAGGGGAAAGTTCACTCCCAAGCCTGATAGTGGCTATTGACTACTTTACATCTCATTGTTGGCTCATATGATCATTATTATCAATGATATCATTATTTTCATCAGGGAAACAGGTGCGGTGGGTGTTATCTTGGTTTTGAATTCATCGATCTCCAGTCCGTTCTGGAGGCAGCTTTCAGTAAATCACAAACTACATGGGGATGTTTAAAGAAAAGAGAGACTTGACAAGAAAACAGAACAATTGAGTCTGATGTTTTGATGTGGGATTTTATGAATAAGAAAAATCCTATTTACCTGTGTTGCACGTCGGGCCGTACCAGCCAGATCTGCACTTACAGACATCGGGAGAGACACATTCTCCTCCATTTTCACAGTGCCTATTGCAGACCACTGCAGGGGTATGGAGGTAAATGAAAGATGAGTCAACGACGACAACAACAACTTGCATTTATATAGCGCCCCCTCACGCAAGGTAGTGCCTCAGAGCACTTTGGTAGTGTCCCAGAGTGGCAATAAATCAAATGTGCAGCTTCACTGTCTTGTTTTGTTTCACTTGTAACATTGATCAGATGGGGTTTCAACAATAAGTTGCATTTACGGTATATGGCATAGGATAATAACTTGGGAGTGCTTCAGAAATACACGGTTGGATGCCCAGCAAAAGATGTGTGGGAGCGGGAGAAAGAGGTATGGTTTTAGTTGAGATTTAAAGACAAATTAAGTTAACAGTTAATATTACAGCAGGCATTCTTACCTGGTTTTGCATTTCATATATTGACAGATTATTTATTTTAAAACAAAGTTTGGATCTCATTTATTTTGCTCAAAAAAACCTCTACATGTATTTATATCTAATGGAGGTTAAATCCGGATTGACAACAATTCATACAAAAGAACAATTTGGCATAGATATGCTCACATTACTGTTTAATTGAACTCTTACAAGTACATTGATTGATGCAGTCAATTTCCAAGGGTAGGAATGGGTTTGGAGATTAAAAATTAATCCTTGGATTTGATGTAATGTCTTTCACTTCAGGAGGACATCTCAAAGCATCTCACAGGATATACTGTAACGTGTAGTGACCGTATATGTTGTGGCCATGTCATAATAATAATACTTTCATTTGATATTGCACCTTATCAAGTCTTTAATACGTCTCAAAGTGCTTCAAAGGATACACTGTAAAGTGTAGTGACTGTGTGTTTTGTGGAAAAAAACAATTGCGCACAACATTTGTTGATGAATCAACTCAATCATGTGTTGATTCAGTCTCCATTTTCCCTTCCGTCTGTGAGGACTGACCTCACTGTGTTCAGTGGCTCTCTTTCAGAAGGTTATATCAGGAAATCAATGGGAGTAATTCCCCCTGTGTCGAGATTTACTCCTATTAATGAAGCATTTTTGAGCTTCCAAAATGTTTGGCAAAGTGTTGATTCAGTCTTAACCTTCAAATTAGGTTTCCGTAATTTTTTTAAAAAAGAGAACCAGCTTGAAAATTAAGGCTATATTTAAGAATTACCAAACTCTGGGCACTCTAAAATGTTACAGGAATAGAGTAAATCTAAACCCAAGTGGAGTTTTATCTCATACATGAGCAAACCCACAATTTACTGGCTTGTGTTTCCTCCATGAAAACGTGATGTGGGTAATTCTCTGTGGAAAATATACAAATCCTAAAGACACATATATCTTATTGCCTACTGGTCAGAGAATGTACTGACCTTTTAAAAGGGAACTTGTCTCACACTAATCAGAAAATCAGTCTTGCTCACCCATAAATTTACGCAGATAGTTGCCACCATGTGTGTATTATAATAAATCATTTGAATGTTTCACGCATTATAATAGGATTTTCTTACTTGTTTCACATCGTGGGCCCACAAACCCATATGGACAGGTGCAGAGATTTCTAGCCAAGCAGGTTCCTCCATGTTGACACTCTGGTTCACAGTGAGCTGCAACAGAAGAACCTCTTTTACATGTACTATTACTAATAGAAGACAGTACAATCAGATAGCGCCTTTCAAGTCGGCAGGACATCCTAAAGCACTTAACAATACTGGCTGGGTATACACCCAAGCTGGGTGTAGGTAATTTTTGTAATTGATATTTCATCGTCGAAACATCTCAAAGCATTTCACAGGATTTATTATGAAGTGTAGTGACTGTATTTGTAGCTGAGAGTGACGCCAATTTACAGCAATGTCCCACAAATACCCTTGAAGTGAACAGGCAATTTTATCTGGGCAAATCAGGGGGATTCTAGGATGATGTTCCAGAGAATGGGGACAGAATGGCTGAAGGCCTGGTCACCAATGGTGGGAGGATAGGCTGGGGTTTGCTAAATGAATTGAGCAGCCGGGTTGGTAGGGTTGAAGCAAGTCGTGGAGGTAAACAGGGTGAGAGCATTGAGGGATTTGAAGGTAATAAAAAGGATCTTGAATTCGATCTGCTGGGGGATAGAGAATCAATAATTGATCCTTAATTCTCAAAAAGCTCCTGCTTGGTAGAATTTGAATCAGCTAAACTCAGGTAATTAAATGTTTACAGGTACAAAATGAAATGTGCCACCATCCAGTAACTTTCCCACCTCTGTGGTGTGAGACCTAAGTTACCTTCATCACACGTTGGTCCTCCATATCCAAGTAGGCATTCACAAACATTGGGCGTCACACACTTCCCCCGGTTTTTACAGTCAGGACGACATATGGCTGTGCAGAAGTGAAACAATAAAAACAATTAGCAAAATATCAAAATTAAATCACAAAATGTATGGCCTAAAAGCTCAAAGGAAGCACTGCTGGAAATATACAGAACACTGATCAGAACTCATCTGGAGCACTGTGCTTAGTGTTGGGTGTCTCACCTCAAGAAGGAAACAATGGCTTTGGTGACTGTCCAGCAATATTCACCAAGATGCCATGTTCGGTGAAGGGACTTATCTATGGTGATTGGTTATATTCCCTATAAATGAGGAGGATAAGAGGTGATCTGATTGAGGATTTATAGTGATAAAGGGAATTAACAAGGTAGACGAGTTGCATCGCTTTGCACCCCATTTTTGCCGGAGGGTGAACAACACAAGATGGTGTAATCTTGGAACTGGAGCTCAACTGGTCAAAAGTGAATTTAGAAACATTCCTTCATTAAAAAAAGCTGTGAGGATGTGGAATTAAATCATGTCCAGAAGCTGCAGATACAGAATTAATTGCGGGTATTTAAAAGTGCTCTAAATCAATACTTGGGAATTAAGCATATTAATATATATGGGAAAAAGGCTGTGGAACAAGAGCTTTCCAAAAGCTTAGTGTTTTTCGGTTGTTTACAAATTTCTCAATAGTTTCACCAAAGCTCCGTCATTATTCCACTATATAGGACCTTTCATGTAGGCCATCGGCTCAAAGTGCTTTACATTTCTATACAGCACCTCATGAGAATGAAGATGGAATATATTTATATCTTTGCTGCTATCTTACCGCTTTTGATCATTCAACATACTTTCCGTCTGTCTGATGCTCCTAAACGAGGGATGGGTGGGGCAGATGTAATTCAATAAAGGGTTTAGCAAAATTATTCACTAATTCGAAAAGTCAGTTCTCAACCACAAGTAATCCTAAAACATTGGTTCACATCACCAAATGCTCACTGCTTATTTACCAGTTTGACAGTTGTATCCAGTGTAGCCAGGCTTACAGCGACAAGTATTTGGTGCTGAACATTGCATGTTCCTTCCACAGGGGTATCGGCACATTGCTGTGGAGGGATGAGAAGAATATATGTTAACAGAGTGCAATATTTTTGATGACCTTGAATTGCGCGAGCATAATTAGAAACATAATTCGCCATAATTTTACTGACCTTACACAAACCTGGTTACTGCTGGGCAGAGAATTATCCAACAGTATACACCAGATAGGAAGGCATAGTTAAGTAACCACACTTAACACTATCACCTGTGTTCAAATCTTGCTCTGACGGTTGCACAGGTCCTACATGAATTGTGTTTGCATCCTCAAGCCAGATCCTAATGGGTGCAAGTCCACAGCAAAAAACTGCCCAAGCTTAGCAATAGCTAGCCTTAAATTTGGTAAACTCACCCAGAGAGAACAAGCACAGCTAGTGTGGAAAATGGGAAAAGGCACTGGTACATATGCAGTGCTTTTGTGGTTGCTGGTAGGTTGCATTTTGGCGGTTGACTAGAGAGAACTTTATATCTAATTTATAACTGTACTAATCTTTGAATTAATTGATCCATATACTTCTGCTAGTTTGACATAATGACTGCAATGTTGTTGAGAACTATGCACTCTTCACAGTAATAAAATCTGATAGAATGAATTACAAACTCCCATCTTTACCCACTCAAATCCTAAGGAAAGATTAAGTTAAACAAATTTACAGCATCAGTAACTGTGGTCACAAATAATAATAAATAGTACATGATAATAAATGCATTTGACATCAAAGCAGACTTTCTTTTTAATAAAAAAACTGTTTCGTTACATAATTAATCTCTGCTGAGTGTGGTTTCCTCTCTTAGATTTTCACCAAATATGTAAGCAGTAGATTGTTAAGTTTGTTCTGTCAGCGGTAGCAATAATACCTTTGCATGTGACTCCATCACCAAAATAGCCAAAAGGACATCGTCCACACTTGAAGCCTCCGTGTTCAGTTGGCTCACAAAAAACTCCTGAGAAACAAGGTGAGTCAGCACAGGTAACTATCTTTGGTTCATGTGTCAATTCATCTTCTGTGTCAGAGCTCCATGAAGGTTCTGGGATAGTGGAAGAATGTGAATTTGCTGAGGGTTTCCTATGTGTCATTGATGGATCATGTTTTTTCGGAAAGCCTCTTTCCCTGGTGTTGCTAAAACTTGCTCCGTTATCTCTTGCTATTCCATCTGTGTTACTCACTCTTGCATCCTTTTGATTTTCTGGGGATGTAACAACTCTGTTCTGTTCAGTTCGAGTCCTCCCTGGTACAAGTGGCCTGATATGCAGGATAGGTTGTTGGCCTATGGATCTGTTGTTGTTTGGCTGGTGTACTGAGGTCCATTGAGGAAGGTGTGGTTTCTGGATTGCTTTTGTCATGGATGCTACAGTAGCTGCAGTGCTGACTCTTCCCTTTGGTCTGTCTACCTCAGGTTGTGGACCACCTACAGAATATCACAAAACATCAGGGGTTAATTTGAACTTGAACATTTCAGGTAAACAAAACATTCTGATAAATAATGGGAGTCTCAACATATACTTTAAATGTGCAAATTCACCATGTGTGGATGGGAATGTACACAGATATGCTGGATATGAATGCTTTGACACTGCTCTCCCTGCCAGCATCCCTGTTTGCCTATCCAGGTGAACATTAAAGATCCTATGGCATGATTTGAAAAGAGAAAGGAACAGAGTTTCTCCTGATGTCTTGGCCAACAATGTTTCAGATAAAATTAGTCATTGACTTCATGGCTATTTGTGAGACATTGCTATATGCAAATTGATTGCTGTTTTTGCCTTCAAAATACAGTCACTACATGTTATAGTAAATCTGTAATGCTCTGAGATTATGTCTTCCTAATGTTAAAGGTGCCCTATCAAATGCTAGGAATATTATTATCTGTAAAGCCAGATGGAACATTTGATTGTTTGGATTTGATTTGAAGCTCTTGGATCATTGCTTTTGACTACCAGTTAGCAGGACTTCCTCTCAATATTTTGTGCAAAAACCTGTGATGGACTAGCCAGCAGTCGACTGGCTAACTGAACTAGACTGCTGGGAGTTATGTATATGTATTATTTGTTTAATACGGAGCGCACACTCTCACCCTAGATGGAGGCATCTGCTCATCTACTCCTTGGAGAATTTAGGTGCCAAATAATGTCATGAAATTACCCAGAATAGCTGTTTTGGGTAGAAAGTGGTTTTCATGAAAAAAATCACTTTACTGTCTGAAGCTGCCCTCCTCTGGCCATTAGCTGAAGAGCATGTGCACGACTGCATCTGAGGTTTGAGACCAATGTATTATTATATTCTAACACCTTTGAGCACTTAGCAAGGCTAAAGTTCAGCAAAATGATCTTGTACCATTCTACATTCAATCCGGCGGACATCATATTGTGACCAGAAGAGCAAACATATGTGCTCCATGGATGGGAGAGAACTTATCAAGGGAAAAGCTGAGAGATTTGAGACTATGTCAAAACAGTTTGGGGCAGCGATAAAGAAGGCAAGCAGGATGCTGGGTTATATTACTAAATCAGTTGAGTTCCTCAAGCTTTACAGTGCTCTGGTTAGATTGCACCTTGAATATTAAATACAGTTCTGGTCACTGCGAAATAAGGAGGCTATGCAGAGGAGAGCAACAAAGATGATCCCCATTGATGGAGGAATGAGCTACAAGCAACGATTAGACAAGCTCTTCAACCCTGACCGAAAATTACTCATATGGATCTCATAGAGGTGTATAAAATTGTAAATGGGATTTAAAAAGTAAACCCAGAACAATACTTCAGGATACAAGACACTAGAACAAGAGGACATAGATTAAGAGTAATAAGGGACAACTTCAGGACAGATATGATAATATTATTATTGATACAAGGAAGTTTTTCTTTACTCAGAGGGTTGTAAACAACTGGAACAGGTTGCCAGGAAGTGTGGTTGGACCCTGGACTCATTCAAAAGCAAGTTGATGCTGTAATAGGAGGGCGATAGAGTGTGTGTTCTGGAGGGATATGATTGGATGGGCTGAAGAGCCTTCTCAACTAACCTTGTGAGAAGCGAGATTATCCTAAAAACACTGGAGGGATTTGACACACAGCAGCAACATTTTCTCAGGGGTTGTATAGCCTGTACCAGAGTTGCCTTTTTCTCCTGTTCCTGCTCTGAGCTGTATTTGGTAACCTTTGCTAAGCATGTGCTCTTTTTATTACTCATCTTGAGATGTGGGCAGCACTGATAGGGCCAACATTTATTAATGGAAGCTCATCAGTTGAGAACAGAATTGAGCTAAGCTATGATGTTGAATAGCCTGCTGATGCTTTTTGTGACTTTTCCCATATAAATGATGTTTACTGGGGCAAGGTAAGGATGCTCATCACCAAAAGAATCTCAACCCCTGTAGAAAGAACAGTAAAGTGCCTCCAGGTGAGGATGTGAGGACAAAATATTGGCAGAAGAAAAATTAATGACTCAGCAACTAGTAAAAATAATAAATAATAATCCTTACTTTTGATATGGCATCTTTCACATCAGAAGGATGTCTCGAAGTGCATAACAGGAAACACTTTACTGCAAATTATAGTGACTGTATATTGTAGGCAAATACAGCAGTCAATAGTAGTGTTCCATAAACAGCCACACAGTGAATGCCCGATTTTATTTAGTGGATTATTGGCCAGGATGCCGGGAGAAACTCACTCCTCTCTTTGAGGAGTGCCATGGCATCTTTAAAATTCACCTGAACAGGCAGATATCACCTCGGTTTAATGTCTCATCTGAAGTAAGGCACTTACAACAATGCAGCACACCTAACACTGTATTGGAATGTCAGCTTGGACTGGGAACTCAAAATCCTGATGTGGGCCTTGAACCCACATGTGTTTGACTGAGTGAGAGTGATATCAGCTAAGCCAGACTATCACATCATTATTAGTAGCAATAAGAAATAACAGGAAATCATTCTGACTAAATGAGTATTAATAAATAGCTGATACTTATGCCATTAGTCACGTTATCTCTTTCGGAAATAATCTTACCAGACAGAATAACTCTGGTACATGTGTGCCCATTTCCAGAAAATCCTTGGGGACATCGGCCACACATAAAATCCACCTCTGGCAGTTTGGGTTCAAAACACTGCACTCCAGCAAAACAAGGCTTGCTGGCACAACCGATTCTGAAGGAAGGAGTGTGAACTGAGGAGAGAAACAAGAACATTACAATTAGCTTAACCATTAAAAGCCCTGAGGACAAATATCTGAAATGAAGAGGATGAGAGTTGCACAAGGCTGCACGATATCGACTGAAACTTCAATATGGGAGCAATTACTATTGGCAAACCAAAGTAAATTTTTTTTAAATAAATGAAGCTTACTAATTTCAAATTCAGGACTGTAAATATTGATCTTGTAGAATTGCCATTAGTAAGCTCCTTTGCTAACCGTTGGTCTACCAAATTCATGGCCAAATGCAAGGATTATTATATTATTAAGTCAATCCGCTGCGTAATGAAGTGTAGGTTCATGAGAATGGGGGTGATGGCCTTGCAGAACCTTGCACAGGAAAGGAAATGCTTCAGAGTTTGGGATGATCTGTAACTAGTAGGGCTATTCAATTATTATAACTAGTGTTAATTGACTGTAGTGACATTCCCATGTGGCTCTCTGTCATAGTTATGCAAGATTGGTAATTAATTGCTTTTTGTAATGCATTCAATTTTACAACTTCTTGTACTATCTATTCTCTGTGCAAAAGCCATGGAGAATAACACTACAGAGAGAGCTTACAGCCCGCAGGTCATTAGATATACTGCTTTTAATTATTAAATGAGTACAAGAACAGGGTATTTCAATTCAATGATAATTAACAGTTAATATTTAGGTGATTGCAACCGTGAAAATTGCAGACTCTAGAGTGAAAAATGCAGTGTGAGCTGTGATAATTATAACAAAAAATGTTAATATAGGGCCTTTCACATCGGGAGGATGTCTCAAAGCTAACTGGGAGCCCGAGCCGGGGAGCAGTTAGGTGACTGAAAGTTGATCAAAATGGTAGGTTTTAAAGTGGGCTTTAAAATAGAGGTCGGAGGAGGAGAGATGTAGGTACTCTGTGATAGTAATAGGCTTGTGGAAACTGGTGCGGGGGAGCAGAATTTTGGATGGTCTGCAGTTTCTCATTGTGAATTTCTATTTTTCCACCCTTTTACACCTGAAAGGAAGATTCCAAATCGCAAATCAATCTAAACATATTTAAAAATAATAATAATCCTTGCATTTGATATAGCTCTTTTCACATCTTCTAGACGTCCCAAAGCACTTCACAGAATATACTGTAAAGTGAATTGACTGTATATTTGTGGGCGAACGCGGCAGCTAATTGCACACAGCAATGTCCCACAAACAGTCATGGATTGAAAATGATCAATTTATTATTGTTTGGTTTTGGAGGGATTATTATTAGGTGTGTGGAGTTAGGAAACTTGCCCAAGGTTTCGCCCTCTGCCTGGAATTGAACTCAGGTCTCTCGCTTGCAAAGCGAGTGCTCTAACCACTGAGCTACAGGACTCCACAGGTAACACGTGTGCCACAGGTTAACACCCTCAAGCAGCAACATTATGTGGCAACGTGCAAAGGGTTGTATTCCTATGTGTGCGCGAAAATAGAAAGATATTGAACAAGTTTGTGGCATTTCCTAATGTGTAATAATAATAATAATCCTTGCATTTGATATAGCGCTTTTCACGTCTTCTAGATGTCTCAAAGCGCTTCACAGAATAGACCGTAAAGTGAATTGACTGTATATTTGTAGGTGAAATGCGGCAGCCAGTTGCGCAGCCAGTGTCCCACAAACAGTCGTGGATTGAAATGACCAATTTATTATTGTTTTTTTTGAGGGATTATTATCAGGCATGTGGAGTAAGGAAATGTCAGGAAATGCCACAAATATGATGAAACATCGCTAACTTGTTGCCATTTCTCAACTCATGTTAGACTGCAGTCACTCATCCACTGTTTAGTGTGGCCTCGCAACTCAAACCCCACCTCTATCCTTGACGCTCCCTCCTTCTTCCCTGTTCAAAACTGATATTCTAGAGGCAGATTGTAGCTGCAGAAGTTTGACAAATGGACTCAATTCAGTCTGTTTCCTTTTTTGGATTGTTAAAAAGCTGATATAAAGTGTTCAATCGGGACTGTGTCCTTTGTGTTGGGTCTGCGGGGTGGGGGGAAGGGGAGAGAGAGTCTGGCCCAAACCAGTCATAAGTTGCTTGATAAAATTTAGCACAAATTGTATACTCCTTGATAATTATCACAGGTGATGTTCACATCCTGACATTTCTTTCCATAAATAAACAGAATCCTGATTATTACTTACAAGAGCTAGAGCTGGGGATGAACAAACCCCATCTATCTTCATTTGTCAGCTTCACTGATTCCGTAATGTCATTCACTTCACTAATATAATCTTCACCATCTTCCTCTTCTGTCTTGTATGCATCTTCCTCCTGCTCTTCATTCTGAGAATTATAATCCTCATTGAAGACCTCAGGAATCACCCTGGTTGGCAGACCTACTGCTGTAGTCTTACCTTCAGCTAAATGCAAGACCAAGATCAATGGTCATTAGAGTTATTGTAATAGATAGTGCATGAACTATGAGCTTTACTGACACAGCCAACGAGTGGCACACTTTACTGTCTTTTTACAGGAGCATAAGAATGTTTTGGACTTAAAAATCCTACAGAAAATAAGCCTCACTTAAATATCTCTCACATCGCTCATTTAATTTCTCCACCAAATATTGTGGCAACTTGTTATAGCAAGGTGGGCTTGGCTCAATAGCTCAGCCTTATAATTAAAGGTAAGCACTAAAAAATGGACACATTTCAGATTGCCCCTAATATTAGGTCTGGTGTGCTGCTGACATCACTTGATCTGAGCAGCATTTCCTGGGCAGCACGCAGGAAGTTACTTCAGCAATGTTTCCAGGCTTTAGTGTGCATGTGCTCAAAGTGCAGAACATGACATCAGTGGTCTTATGACTTGGAAGTCAGTCACTTTAGTGCTGGAAGCCAATTAGTCAGTGCTGGAAGCCATGTGGACCGCACTTCTAGTTAGAATGGGTTCAGAGTTAGTGTTACAGTGAAGGGGGCTATAAAGGACTCACCTGTAGGCATCAAATTCCCTTTTGAATTCACCTAAAAACAGTTACTGCACTTTAAGGAAACTATATGAAGTACTTTAAGTTGTTTTCAAAGTAATAGGCACTTCATCACCTGCAAGGATTATTATTATTGAATGCATTGACACAGTCTGTCTCCACCACCTCCCTGGGTTGACCATTCCACACATTTACCAAGCTCTGCATAAAGTAACTATCCTGTATAAAGTAACTATACCCTCTCCTGAGTTGGATTTTGTAACTTTTAAAAAGGTTGTGATTGCATTAAACATACTCTTTCATGTATATGCAACACTACGAAAAGGCAGCAGAGTGATTATTTTACAGACTTCAATAAAACTAAGTTAAATAGATGTAAACAAGACTTTGTTTTTCCTTCATGCTATTCAAGTCAATAAAATTATCTAACAGGAAATAAAGTATTTGCAATAATTAATTTCAAAAGTGATTTATAAAGTTTTTTTCTGGAATTCTGGAGTTTTACAATTAATCTATAAATGATTACTATTTGAAAAAATCTTCAGCACTAATAACTGAAGATTTAGATACTGATATGGTATCATTGAAGTCTGGGTTTATCTGAAATTACATAGAATGTTATAGCACGGAAATACGCCATTTGGTCCAAATGAATGGGTGTTTATACTTCACATGAGTCTCCTAACACTCCCACTTAAACTCCTCTATTCCCTTCCTCCTTACGTATGCATCATTTCCTCTTAAATCTGTCCTGACCCAACTGTCCAGCGCCTTGGGACGTCCTCCCGATGTGATAGGCGCTCTATAAATGAAATCTTGTTGTTGATGCTTTTTACATCAGCCACAGCTTTGAGCAGTCAGTTCTATATTCTCAAAATCCTCATTTACTAATTACAGATCTTCAATTGGCCGTCTTCTATTAATGGTTGCTTAGGCTCACCAAGAAATGGAAACAACCTATTAATATCCACTGTATAATTTTAAACGATTCTACCACATCCCCTCTCAATCGCCAGATAGAAAAACTCCAAACTATCCAATTTTTCTTGATAGCTGTATCCACTCAGCCCTGGTAACAAACCACAGCCCTGGTAACATCTCTAATGCTACAATATCCTTCTGGTTATGTTTCCGGTTTGGTCTACGGAGGAGTGATTGGCGTGGCTACGGGGAAAAGGCAAGTAAATGGGATTGAATGAGTTGCTCTCTCGAAGGGTCAGTGCAAACACAAGGGGTCAATTCGCCTTCTGCTTTATTTGATTCTATGAGTCATAACTGCTGTAGTTGTGTAACAGAAAATATTTAGAGATCAGTGCATGATGGTTAATGTGAAAGGCAGCGCAAATTTAAAACAGTATATTACCTTTTGCTTCACAAACATTGCCATCTCCTTGCAATCCTGGGGGGCATACACCACACCTGTAGGTGCCAAATGTATTGTAGCAAGTGACTCCTGGGAAACAAGCACCAATTTCACACTCGTCCACATCCTGGTGACAGTCAGTACCTGTAAAGAATCGATAACCCACACTTAATGTTTCACAGTGATAAAGAGTCCCTAACACTTCAAGTAAATGCAGTGGATGGATTAATTATGGCACCAATGTATTACAGAGGTTGTGGTTTTTCTCAATATATCAATGTTACACCTTCAGAACAGGTAGCAGCTCTAAAGTGGATGGGGATAAGTTCCATTGAGCACTCTATCCTCCTCCACCGCCTCTTCTGTCACCTCAACATTCATGGTTTTGTCCTTGAGTGGTTCAGATCCCACCTCTCACACCATCCTCACTTCACCTGCTCAAATGGCTTCACCTCTAGCCCCTACACCGTCTTGTGCGGTGATCCTCAGGGCTCTGTCCTTGCTCCCCTCCTCTTCAATATCTATATGCTTCCTCTTGGTGACATCATCTGCAGACATGGGGTCAACTTCCACATGTGGGTGACACCCTACCTCTCTGCCTCCACCCTTGACTCCAGGACCACTGCTGTCCTGACAGAATGTCTGTCAGACATCAAGTCCTGGATGAGAGCTAACTTTCTCCAGCTGAATGCCCTCCTGATTGGCTCCCGTCGGCACCTCCTCACCTCAGACTGACAGCATCACCATCCATGGATGCAAACTTCACCTCACTGAGCCACTCTGCAACCTTGGCATCTTGTTTGACCCTCAACTGTCCTTTCTACCCCACATCCGTGCCTTGACCCGCTCTGCCTTCCCCCACCTCTGCAACATGTCCCGGCTCGGCCACTGCCTCACCTGTCAGGCTGCCGAAACCCTCATCCACGCATTGATCACATCTAGGCTCAACTATGCCAACTCCCCTGCCTGTCAACCTTTCCAACAATTCCGTCCACTAGCTGCAATCATCCAAAACTCTGCAGCTCACCAGGCTCCGTGACCCCATCACTCCCACCCTCGCTCGGCTCCACTGGCAGCCCTTTAGCCTTTCTGGCCCCACCCTTTGAAGCTCCATCCCACATTCCTACACATTGTTCTCTCCCTTGTGTCCTTCAAGGTGCGTCTCAAAACCCTCATCCTTGACCGAGCGTTCAGCCACCCTCCTACCCTTGCTGCCCTGCACCCTCCCCGATCCCAACCCCCAGCTCGGGTCCAAATTCCTGACTGTCCAGCACCTTGGCAGGTCCTCCCGACGTGAAAGGCACTATACAAATGTAACTTTGTATTGTATGATAGGGTAACTATTATAGCCTGTTGAGCAGAAATTCCACCTTGGTCTCGATTTACACCATTTTCTTAGCATTTCAACAACAACAACTTGTATTTATATAACACTCTTCACATGGGGCAGTGTCTCAGAGCACATAAGAATGGCGTAGTTTGATGCTGAGCCGGGGAGAAAGGGATGTGACTGTAGGCACGGTCGAAGAGGAAAGTCTTCAGGTGCGATCTGAAGATGGGCAAAGAGGGGGCAAATAGAAATAATGATCCTACGGAAATCTCATTTTTAAAAAATGCTTTCTATGGCTGATCGATTAGATAAAAAGAAAACATTTACCTGTAAGGCCCGCTGGGCACTGACATGAATAACCATTGATTCCGTCCAGACAGAGACCAAACCCACAAGGTTTGGATTGGCAGTCATCAATGTTCACTTCACAATACTTTCCTTCAAAACCAAGAGGGCACACGCAGAGGTACTCCCCACTGCCAGGAGGAAAGTGTATGTTTATAACACATGACCCTCCATTCAAGCAATTGCACGGCTTCACAAAGACCTGTCCAGAAAACAAAAGCGACAATGTGTTCCCCACAGTGCCTAAAGTAGATTGCTTAAAGCTGGATAGTTAACAGTCTTGTGATGTCCTGTAAGTCCTTAAATCACTTGGATGAAAATTGTGACTTGTGATGTGTTAATTAGCAAAAATGTGACCAGTTAATGTCTCGATTAACAATTCGTTTGTGATTGCATGTTTCCTCTCCTCTATCACAATAGTTGAGTCAGAAGCCAGCAGTGCAATGCATTGGGTTGCCTATTGTAACCAACAAAACAAATCAGAGCTTGAGCTGGTATCCTTCTAATCTTTGTCGGCTTTGGATCCAACCATTGTTATCCAAATGCAAGGATTATTATTGTGGTGAAATTTGGGGGCAGGGGGGTTTATCATTGATGTTATTTAATGCATAAAAGGCCGCAGTATTCCTCTCAGTTTCTTGCTTGGACAGTATGACAAGTTTAATGGCAGGAGGAGTATTTTGAGGTATAAAGTTAGAAAATATGAAAAATATCCTAAACCTGACATTTTTCAATCTGATGCTCATAACACAACTTGCACTTATATAGTGCCCTTTATGTAGAATAATGTGTTAAGAGCTCTTTAAAATGATGGGGGATGGGCTGAGAGGGTGGGGAATGTGCAACAAGCTTGAAATAGCTGAGGGATCAAGTGGGATAAATATTTTCACCGAACAAATAGAGAACTAAAAATATTTTTCCTTCACCCGTTCCCTTTGCTTGACCAAGACTAGCCTACTCTAAGTCCCCTCTCTATCCACCCCACCATTGGCAGGTGGGTTTTTAGCCACTGGTTCCTGCTCTCTGGAACTCCAATCCCAGGTCTTTCCAAGTTGCTCCTTCCTCTCTTTCAAGGCAAATCTCAAAACGTATCTCACTGACCATGCTTTTAGTCACCTTTCCCCTCCTCATCTCCTCAGCTTTGGTACACAGCCAGAATTGTCAAGTATCTTGGGACAACCTCCTGATGTGAAAGGTGCTGTCTAAGTATAAATTTTATTGTATTTTTTTCCTCATTTTTATTACAGGACCACAAATGTATAGTCATAGCAGACCTTACCTCCACTGTTACTTTGGTCTCTGCATTACAATCATCTGTGATGGAAAACGTGAACTGCTGGGATTCCTGCAAATCCACTTTCCATATCAGCAGCCCGGCAGGAGACAGCATGGCGTCCTGAGGCCCAGAATCAATGTTAAAAACAACTGCAGAACCTTCAGGATCAGACGCTAGGAATTGGTACACAAAATTTTCACCAGAAAACGTTCGCAGTCTGTCTTGTGAAGCTTGAAAGACTGGGGGCTGGTTGTCTGAAATAAAAGGAATAAAATAAATATTGCTTCATCTGCAAAACAGACAAATATTGTATTTCTCCCATACCTGACTCCATCCCCATAAGTTCTCATATTTTAAGAATCTGGAATAATCAAACTGTTATGTTTATTCCTTGATTGACTTTACAGGAGGCATCACCTGAACATTGCAGGAATTGACCCATAACCCTGACCCACTTGGCCTTTCTTCCTCCTCCTTGTGGTGCAGCAAAGATGCCTCAGCAAAGATGAATCCCTTTTGTCCTTCCCTGCCTCCCTCTTCTGCCCTGGGAGAGCGAATGTCAGACAAGGCTTGAGCTTGAGTACAGTACCTTTAAACCTTGACAATCCAGGCTTTTCCATTGAAAGTCAGCAAGAGAGCAAAGGGTGAACATTACTAGGTGTGATGTGATAATTATCACTGGTGAATTTCAGGGTCAAAGCCCAATTGGTAATTATCAACTGGTGTAGGTGTGATTCCACCCCAATAATTTTGGCACAATGGTTGAGTTTGAAGCCACCACTGGCTGTCCTGCCAGGGCTAACGTATGCAGCATTTGATTGTCAGAATGCTTCGCTGCATTAAGACGGTATCTTGGGAATCAGCATTCAGTAACTCCACAGTTAGCATTTCCAGTGGTGGGTTCAAGCCCAGACGAGTGACAGTGATCACATCACACAATCTTTACCCTAATATTTAATGCTCTTTATACGAAGTACAGTTACAGTGGAAATATGATGATTCACAATTAAATTATCTAGTTTTCTGATTATTCTCAGCTCCGGGAAGCTGGGACTGGGAAGTGAGCAGAATGAAGGTTGAAAACCGAGTCTTTGCTCCATTTATTGAAAAATGGTCAAAGTTCAAATCCATACAACAGTGTTACGCATTAGCTCTTTACCATGGATTTAATTAGTTGGAGCACTAAAGATGACTATAGCAATAAGCTATATTTTTTCACTGTATTTAATTATAGTTTCAAATAAGCTATGAAATTTCAATTAGTCTCCCGTGGTCCTCTTAACTCTAGTAACTAATTGAGGTTATGCTTTAGTGCAAAGCTTTTCTTTCTGGACTATAAAATGTCGTTCAGTTTGGGGGGGAAATTAAGTTTTCTGAAATGCAAAACAAGTTAACCTTCTACAGAATGTCATTCTATTCCCTGGTGATTCAGGTGGATTTTTATATAAGAAAAGATAGCAGCACCTCACATGAATGAATGAAGTCAAAGTTATGATAATGTTGTACAGTTTAAAAAGTGACATTGGAGTTACAGGTTCACATCGAGCGACTGGTTTTCAATGATGTTCTGCTTTGCAAAATTCAGGCAATTTTGTTTTAAAATGCAGGGCATTCAATTATTTTTTTCTAATTTTCTCTCCACTGGGATTCTGTTCCTGCTCTGGCCTTCTTTTGCTGGGTGTAATGCCCTTGGCGCTGGTTGCACACTGGGGCTGTTATGCACAAGTAACCCATACAGTTACATGGGGCCCTGAGGTAGCGAGTGGGCCCCTGCCATCGTGACTCATTTACTTGTGGCTCACACGTTCTGAAAACCCAGTGAAATTTCCTTCCCATCAACTTAACCTCCTGGGTGTTGGGGCATGTGGTCGGCATAATGGACACCTTGCCACAGCTGCTCCAGGCCTACACCAGCCTCCCTCCAATAGCCGCGGTTCAGTTGCCTGGGGACTCGCTGCTGGTTTTCCAGTAACTGAGGAGCTGCTGGCAACACTGGTAGGGAACGACATTGAGCTTTGCATGGGCAGGAGTGAGGGGCAAATGCTGGTAGGGACACGACATTGACCCGACATGGGTGGGGGGGAACGGGGCATTACCCCGTCCAAGTGACCGTTGTTCATGTGTGAGACATAGCAATGAGTGGTGGCAGCTACTTAATGTAGGGGATATCATAGCCGAGCCTGACCTCTCCCCACCCAACTGGCACATGTGGAATAAACAGTAAAGGGGACTGTTAAGGCACCAGGAGCTGGAACCTTGGTTGGTTTCCTCCTCTCTAACCTCAAGAAGGCTGAGGCCAATTCAAGCTTCCCATACAGTGCTGGCTGAGAGCAGCAAACTCAGTAATACCAGGATTTAAGCCAATGAGCTCCCAGTCAATATGCAGCAACTTTATCCACTGCAGCACTGCCCCTAATGCAAACATCTGGAAAGCATCTAACTCAAAACCAGTAACATAATAATAGTAAGATGAGAGAATGTGAACTATCTTACTTTCATTAATGGACCACTCAAATTTGGAAGTGTCAGGTCTGCACAAAAGACAAGGGCTGGTTGGATTTAGGTCCCCTGCACCATAACAGAGCCCATCAATACTGCATGTATTCTCCTGTGAAAAAAGACAAAGGAAGGATGTGAAAATACTAACACACATGTATATATTGTATGAAATCTTACCCTGAAAATACTATTAAGAAAATAATTATCCTTGCGTTTAATATAGCACCTTTCACTTCAGGAGACTATCTCAAAGCACTTCAGTGTAAAGTGTACTTTGTAGGAGAATAACTATCTGCAGGGAATTCCTTCACTAACTTAACTCTACTTTGATGTCTAACAGCAGCATTTAAGGCCATAGACCTAAATTCAGTTTCATCCACTCTTTTGACGGTAGATTAGATCTGTATTTGGTGGATCAAAATCAAAATATTGGCAGCATTAGGATTCAGGATGGAGACACGTTGATGGGACAGGTAAGTGCACCCTGGTGGTAAAAGAACTGCAAGATTTTGTTGCTTTTCATAAATCATTCCTTGTGATAATTGAGAACATATCAACCACAGCCACAGTAAAATATAATATATAACATTGCATCCACAAATTCAAGACAAAACAATTGTTTCTAGGCAAATTATAGACATGCATGTCGTCTCAAGTGGATTTTTGGTCTGTTATGCACAATAACAACAAATTACATTTGTATAGTGCCTTTCATGTTGGGAACAACAATAACAACAACAACTTGGAATTATATAGCACCCTCCACACCAGAGTGTGTGTATCTCAGAGCACTTCACAGTAGTGGATCCCTGGGCCGAGCCAGGAAGAGGGGAAGGAAGGTGCGGTGGAAAAGAAAGGCCTTCAGCCAAGACCTGAAAATAGGAGAGTGGACTAGGAAGGGAGTTCCAGGGCCTCGGGGCATAGTGGCTGAAGGATTCGGGGGACAAGGAGGAGGCCAGACCCAGTGGAGCGAAGGCAACGGGCACTGTTGTGAGGAGAGAGAGGGGGGTGCAGAGGAGTGGGGGAATTGGAGTGGAGGTGGCCAAAGGCACAGTCGAGAGGAGGGTCTTAAGACGCTCCTTAAAGTGGGCAAGTGAGGGAGCGAGGCAAAGGGACTGTGGGTTGAAGTTCCAAAGGGTGGGGGCAGAGAAGCTGAAGCCCGGCCGCTGATGGTGGGGTGGGCCGGTCGGGGGACGTGGAGCAGGCTGAGCTGAGTGGAGGGAGTGGAGGTAGGAAAGAGCAAGAATGTGGCAGGCTTTGAAGGCGATGACAAGGATTTTGAACCCTATCCTCTGGGAGATGGGGAGCCAGATGAGGGTGGGGGTGATAGGGTCAGGATCTGGTGGGGGAGTGGACATAAGCTGCAGAGTTCTGAATAATCTGCAGCTTGTGGTGGGAAGAGTTGGGAAGACCGACAAGCAGAGAGTTGGCGTAGTCGAGCCTAGATGAACACGTGTAAGAATGTATAAACACAAAAACGCAAGGGACACACTTCTAATGATCAGATCTGTGGCACAGTATCAATATGATTACTTTAAACTTCTTAAATATTAAGTAACGTACATTGATTTGCATCGATTTGCTGTGAAGAACATTTAAATGTTCATTTTACAACTTTACATGGAGCACAATGAACAGAATAGCCTACAATACTCATTATAACTATTTGCTCAACATTAGACAATAATGTATGGTCTAAAATCAAAGATTCCTTTTATTTAATAAAAGAGAATTTGCGGGAAAGGCAAGACCTCCACTCCCCTTTCCCATACAACTACTTGTAATATTCTTTGCATTTGATATCAGGTCTCTCATGTCGGAAAAACAGCTCAAAGTGCTTTGTAGGATTTACTGCAAAGTGCAGTGACTGTGTATTTTGTAGGTGAATGCAGCAGCAAATTTTGCACTATTCCCCGTCCCCGATCCTTGAATAATGCTGATGATGTAAGTTGCATTGCTGTCTCTAGTTGTTGGCAAGAGGACACCAAACTTACTATCACCTGAATTCCCACCACTAATGTCAAGGCAGAGTATAATCATGACCTGGAAGTGCTGGCCTAAATTAGCCAAATTGTGAATGAAATAAATCACTAATTCTGACCTTGTCTGTAGTGATCTATGAAATCCCATACCATTATAGCAAATGGCAATCTGTTCCTGTCATCAAAATCAAAATTACCTATTCTTTGCACAAAAATAAATCACACTGCACATTGGCTTTTGAATTAGGCTAAACAACTTGAATAGCTTTATTCCAAAACCAAATTCCTCTGAGAAGATTCTTCTGAGGTTTGGTTTCATTGCTCTATTAACTACAGTACATTTTTGGCATCTGCTTTAACAGCCAAAATGTAATTTATATGTCCATTTCATACAGATTCTGCCATTGCCTGCAGGCTCATTTCCTTCAAAGTTCTGGCTTCACAATTCTCGATTAAAAATAAATCCTGTTATTATTCATAAACCGGTTCAATGGCAAGTGAATTGGGAGGGCAATACATGGTTTGAATGAATGATCAGTGCAGGTTTACTGGATAAACTCAGCTTTTTATTCAATCTACACCACCAAATTCTATTTACAGAAGTGTGATTTCCTGTATAACACACATAAAAATGGATAGCAACACCAAAGTGGGGGAACTCTCACATCTTTACTAATATTAAGGTAGGAATTAAATGTGCTGCTTTATGTTTTATGTTTGTAGCATGAACAATTGTAAGGGCATACTATTGATACACCTATTGTATGTGTATAACACATTGATTCTACTCCTCGAGCTGGTTGCTATGGACTTCTGCTATATCCTATCAGATATAACGATAGAATGGTTATGTGGTTGACCTTGCAGAAATAGAAAGGTTTGTGGCAGACATTGATGAGTATTCTGGGCCTTTGGAGATGTGGTGGCCTTTAACTTTTAATTTTCACAAAAAAAAATCACAGAAAAAGATCTCTGATCTCAATATTCTCTGGTGGGAGAATCCAGAACAAGGGGTCAATATTTTAAAATTAGAGCTAGGCCATTTAAGGAGTGAAATTTGGAGGCAGTTCTTCACGCAAAGAATAGTGGAATTCTGGAACTGCCTCCCCCAAAGAGCTGTGGATGCTGGATCCATTCATATTTTCAAGACTGAGGTGGATAAATATTTGTTAGGTCAGGGTATTAATGGATACGGGGCAAGGGTGGGTAATTAGAGTTGAGGTACAGATCAGCCATGATCTTATAGAATGGTGAAACAGTCTCGAGGGGCTGAATGGCCTACTCCTGTTTCTATGTTCTATAATAACACAGCAAGTAAAAGCTAGGGAAGCTATTTGTCCTACTACACTCAATAAAAAAAAGACTAGAAAAATGGAGTAATATATATTGCACGTATTACAAGTCTAGAATTGGCCACATATAGACACACACACAGTCTTATATATATATATATATAATATGCATTCTACTATACCAAAGTTCACCATATTCTGGCTGTCCAAGCTATCCCTCTCCTAGTCAAGCTGAATCAAGCGAGACACCTGGGTTCAATTCCATGCAGGGCAAAACCGTGGGCAAGTTTCCTTACTCCACACACCTGATAATAATCCCTCCAAAACAAAACAATAATAAATTGGTCATTTTCAATCCACGACTGTTTGTGGGACACTGCTGTAGACAATTGGCTGCTGCGTTTTGCCCACAAATATACAGTCAATTCACTTTACAGTCTATTCTGTGAAGCGCTCTGAGTTATCTAGAAGACATAAAAAGCGCTATATGAAATGCAAGGATTATTATTATATGATTATTATTATAATGCACTGACAACTTTGATACTGCCTATCAAACGGTTTCACACTTGATGACTTTTTTTCTTGTTGCCTTATGGTCCTCCTGTACCATTAAAGTTCCAGTGCTAAATCTTTATAGGGGTCTGTGACTCAAACTTCCACCGAGTCTTAGTCTAGACATGCAAGTTATTGTAGTTGTTGTTGTAAGAGAACTTCCATCAAGCCTTAAGCCAGAAGACCATTTGCCTTTGATTGTGCAAAATTTTAAATCTTTTGAAGAACTGTGCAAAACCAACTTCCAAATTAAGACTGAATTTAAAAATTTCCCCAATTCTGTGCAATCTTAAATTTTAAGACAAAATGGTTTTACAGACTAAGATTAAGTAAAATGTCAGAAATCTGATCTGAACATCAGCATTTCTCAATTCCTCAGCCAGCCATTCCACAGCTGTGCTTGGAGACTTCTCTTTTTTTTAATAAAAATGAATTAACTATAAACGACGATATTCAATTACTTCTCCAATGGCAAAAACCTTTTGTTAAAGCTCCTAGATTAACATTACTCACAGCTCCTGTATTTCTTTCATATTGTATTAGAACATTGATTAAACAGATTTTTCTCTCTTTTGAATAAAAAATAGGAATGTCAGAGACTAAGAGGTCTATCGCTCCTATAGTTATTATAGCCAACTTTGCAGTTAATCCCATTGTGAAATGGGACTGCAAGGAAAAAGACTGGAATCATTCTTATGAAAACATTACAATATCATAATCCTTGTATTTGAATTTTTTTTTGGGTCAGCCGGGTGTCTGACACATGCAGAAATCCATCACCAAACTAGACTGAGAATTCCAGATATGCCACCTACATATGGAAATGCCTGTGTCTGGAATGGAATATACACTTTCTCTCTCTCCATTTGAATTTGATTTAATTTGCATTTGAAATCACGAGGCATCTCCCAGCACTTCATAGGAATTTACTGTGAATTGGCAAATAAAGCCCAGAATGGATAACATCAAGAATAAACGTTTGCAACAATAATGGTTTGAGTTTTAAAGAGTTCAATTTTGTTACATAATTAAATGTTAAATTAAACAAAACATAATCTTTTTGGTAATGATATGATTGATGCAACATTGCAAATCTGTAGCTGCCACATCCTTCCACCAGGTGGTGACCAACGTGAGCAGTTGTAAATTATTGAGAGTCATCAGTATTGACATTTCCCCTGTGTGGTAAAGAGTATCTTGCAACCAAGGTAGGTCTGTCTGACTGATTGATTAACTGATTGATTCATAATGTGAGGGTAGATTAAGACATCAGTGAGGTTGGAAAAGCTCTTGTCATGTAAACAGCTGAGTAAATGGTGACTTGTACTGGAAAACGTAACACAGACTACACACAGCATCTCCTGCAAGGAATCCATGTATGTCACATAACCCCACGAGAGCTCGGCTCTGACCTGAAAGTGAGCAACACCCTTTGCACTGCCGTTTTCCCAATGTGCGTCTTCACCGCATTCAAAATGCACAGTCTTTATTACAGTATATACCGTAAACAGCTTTGTAATGTTAAAGGTGCTAAGCGAAATGCAATGATTACTTTATTATTATTATATTGTAATTTTCTCATCTAAATCTAGCAATCTTTGTTGTAGTTGTTACAGTCTATTATCAAATACTATACAATACAGTATATGGTCTTAAATTGTTATTCTCAATGTTATTTATTTCAGGTTTTATTGGCCAATTTAGGCATATAGTAAGAGCGATTTCTATCTTTTCCTTGGAGTCCCATTTCACATTGGAATTCACAGTAAATAATATTGTATCATATAAAAATACTCTCCCAAGAGCAGTAATAACTAAAATTATTTACCTGTGATTCTCTATCACCTTTGAAATGAACTTTTGCAACATTACACACATTTAGTCAGCAGCAGCACCAATACAGAAGATTTACATGATTTCCTATGAGGCTGTGTTACATAAAACAAATAAGAGAGCATTTACTCAGGCTAGGTAACACTAAGGCTAAGTAACCATTGATGGCCTAGTGGGTAAGGTGCTGTTGCACTGACTCGGTTGGCAAGTTCAGGTTCCCATGTGTGTTGAGCCCGTTGATCTCAGGCCACAGGGAAAATACAGTCACTGCACTTCACACTAAATGCTGTGAGAGGCTTTGAGGTGTTTTGCAGACATGATGAGGCATTACATCAAATGCAAGGAATATGATAATCAATGAATCCATCCAAGATTCTCCAGTTCATCTCTTTTACTTGTATCAGATGCTTGTTATTGACACACAGCTCACAGGAGGACAATACTAATTTTTTGAGGTGTCTTGTCAGTAAGCAGTCACTACCTGTTACAGCAAAACTCACATGATGCATATCAGTTGGGACCATAACATTTAATATGACTTTGTCAAGTCTGAGTTACAGGCAAATTTGCATAAGTAGTATAAAATCCAATTTAATCAATCTGCACTGAGTTTGCATAATTCCATGCATTCGGTAAGTGTGCATTGGAATATCAGTCACTGCAGCTGGTAAGTGCGCATGAGCTGCATTGAATCACGAGAAATGTAGTTTTGATCCATTGCCGCATGCACACTTACCAACAAGCATTGGAATCACATTGAATCACGGGAAATGAAGTTCTTCTGTGCATGTGGCAACGGATCAAGACTACGTTTCCTGCGCTTCGGTGGAGCCAGCAGTTAAGCGCAATGTTTCAATAGGTCAGGACATCATTTCCCACTATTTAATGCTGCCAGTAAATGTGTGGCAGAGAAGGGAGAGATGTTACAAGTCAGGAAATGGTTAATACGACCAGTGGAAAGAAATCTATGTGGTTTTGATAGGAAACTGAATAGGACTTGGGTGCATGTACGACTTAGGCGATTATATAAATTTAAAAAATTTATGTGAGTTTTACTGTAACAGTAAAATGCAGGTGTAGAATTAATAACAATAATAATCCTTGCATTTGATATAGAGCCTAATCCCGTCTTCGAGATGTCTCAAAGCGCTTCACAGAATATACTGTAAAGTTAATTAACTATGTTTTGTAGGTGAAGCACGGCAGTCAATTGCGCAGTCACACCACTTTGGTAACTTTGATCATTGCTTTTCTTTGGCTTCATTCCAGTCACTAATTGATAAGTTATATTCAAAGGCCTGAGTCAAATTGGTGCCTGTGGTAGAGTTGGCAGCATGGAATTATATAACCAGATCATCATGGGTTTCTATTAAAGCATATCAATGTGAATGCTATGCTTGTGTGCAATACTTTGCTAACCAGCACCTGATTGCTAGTTAATGTTTTAATGTTGTTAAAAAGTGTGAAGGAGTGTCAGTTTTTTGATGCCATCAACAAGTATGGTCCATTAAACAGCTTTCAAACTTGTTCTGGTGTGATCCTGTTTCACTCTCTTCAGATCCTCCACTCTTCCAATGTCTCCATTAACATAAACTGTGCACTTGAATTGGTTTATAAGATTGTCGTGTAAGATTCCAGACTCACAGATTGTTTCGTGTCTATCACTGCTGTGTTTAGAGCAGTTATAAGTAATTAATAATAATGAATAATAAGTAATTAATAATCCTTGCATTTGATTATAGCGCTTTATCCTTATCTTTATCTTCGACTCATCTCAAAGCACTTCATAGAATATACTATAAAGTAAATTGACTATATTTTGTGGGCAAAAATTAATAAAATTTTAGGCAAATGTTTCATTCCCTAATTTCATTCAGGAAGNAAAAAAACTTTCATTTTTATAGCATTTTAACACAGTGAATCATCTCAAAGCACTACACAAGTTATATCTGTAAAATGCAGTGACTTTGGACAAACGGAGCAGTCATTTTGTGCAAGCAAAGGACCCACAAATAGACATGAGGTTAATGGCCACTTAACGAGAGGATTTTTAAATCCAACTGAAAAATAGACAGGACTTTGTTTTAACATTTTGTCCAAAGGGTGACGCATCGGACGTTGAATCACCAAATTAAGGGTATGTTGGCCAAAACTAAAAACTCCCTTCTATGTTTAAATATTATTCATAGAATCCTCAAAATTCATGAGAACAGGCAGACATGACCTTGGTTTAACCTTTTATCTAAAGGAATAGCATCTCTGACAATGCCGGCTCCTTCAACACTATCAGTTGAGATTATGATTTCAATACGGGGCTTGAGCCTACAACCTGTAAGCTGGAGTGCTACTAACCAAGACAAATTGACATTCCCAAACTCAGGGAGATACATGTACTAGGAGTGAACAATCAAATTGCTATTAAATTCCAAAAGCTCAGGGTTCAACCAACTTGACAAATGGAGCAAGCAGAATCTGCCCAGCAAAAGACAATAATGTAAACTGCACAAAGAATATCAATCGATCTCTTAACAGAAACAAACTTCCAATCTCTGTTGTCCAGGAGTCTCTCCTGAAAGGTATGGGCTTTCATAAATGCTACCATTTATTTCTGAACCTACCTTTAAAGTGCAAAAGCCTTCAGATCCTGGCTCACAAGTCTGACAAGCTCCATCGAATAACGTTAAGATCTCGGTGTTGCTGTATATATAACCATCATTTGAAATCTGCAGGAGAAAAACATCAATTTATACATTTTGCCCTGAAGTCATCGCTGAAGTTAATTCAGCTTTGTCTCATCAAATTATCTAATTGATCTCTCTGCTTTCTGTTACATCTTGTGACAATTTAAACATTTTCATGCAATAATTTGCTTACAAAGCAAAAGAGAGAGAGAACAGCAGAGCATCCATTACATGGCTTTGTGTGCGAGGTTTCAGCCGTTTTGTTAACAGCAACATGTGAACATAGTTTGATTATTTTGCTCAACAACAACAACAAAATTACATTTATAGAGCGCCTTTCATGTCGGGAGGACGTCCCAAAGCGCTGAACAGTCAGGTGTTGGGGCCTGAGCATGGGGGAGGGGTGGTGTGGGGGTGAGGGAAGGCAAAGAGGTGGGAGGGAGACCAAAGGCACTGTCGAAGAGAAGGGTCTTGAGACCGGCCTTAAAGGAGACAAGGGAGCAAGCGAGGCGAAGGGACCGTGGAATGGAGTTCCAGAGTGTGGGGGCAGAGAGGCTGAAAGCCCGGCCACCGATGGTAGGGCGAGTCGGGCAGGAGACATGGAGCAGGCCAGAGGCGAACGGGCAGGTTGGTATGGAGTCAGCTGGTCAGAGAGGTAGGAGGGGACAAGGCCATGGATGGCCTTAACGGTGAGGACGAGGATCATGAACTTGATCCTCTGGGGGATGGGGAGCCAGTGGAGTCGGGCGAGGGTGGGAGTGATTGGGTCACAGAGCCTGGTGCGCGAGAGTACACGAGCTGCAGAGTTTTGGATGATCTGCAGCTTGTGAAGGGAAGAGTTGGGAAGCCCGATGAGGAGGGAATTCCTGTAATCGAGCCTTGAGGTGACGAATGCACGGGTGAGGGTTTCGGCAGCCTGAGGGGTGAGGTAGTGGCGGAGTCTGGCAATATTGCGGAGGTAGTGCTGGTCATGGCATGGATGTGGGGGAGAAAGGACAGTTCAAACAAGGCACCCAGGTTCCTGACTGGCTTAGTGAGGTTGAGTGTGCAGCCGTGGAGGCTGATGCTGCCAGCGCCTGAGGTGCGGAGGCGCTGGCGTGAGCCAATCAGGAGGACCTCGGTCTTGCTGATGTTGAGTTGGAGAAAGTTGTCCCTCATCCAGGACTTGATGTCGGACAGTCAGTCAGTCAGGACGCCAGTAGGTCTGGAGTTGAGGATGGAGGCAGAGAGGTAGAGTTGGGTGTCATCCGCGTACATGTGGAAATTTACACCATGTCTGCGGATGATGTCACCAAGGGAGAGCACCCTTACCCTCCTACCTCTCCGACCTACTATCCCCCTATCTACCTGCCCGTACCCTCCGTTCCTCTGGCTCCGGTCTGCTCCACAACCCCCGCCCCAACCGCCCTACTATCGGTGGCCGAGCCTTCAGCCTCTCAGCCCTTAGGCTCTGGAACTCTATCCCCCAGTGCCTTCGCCGCCTCCTCCCTTTCCTCCTTCAAGGCCGGTCTCAAGACCTTTCTCTTTGACCGTGCCTTCAGCTCCCCTCTCGACTCTCTACCCCCTCCTCGCCCCCTCCCTTCCCTCCCCTCACCATTTCCTACCTCTTCGCTCCCTCCCTTCCCTCCCCCTGACCATTTCCCCCCTGCTCGGGTCCTGACCCAGCTATCCAGCGCTTTGGAATGTCCTCCCGACGTGAAAGGCGCTCTATAAATGGAATCTTGTTGTTGTAGCGTGTAGAGGGTAAAAAGGAGGGGACCGAGTACAGAGCCCTGAGGAACACCGCACGAGACAGTAAACAGACCTTCCCTGGAGGTGTCAACATCCTGTGTGAACACTTGATTTTGAAATCCTTCATGTGGAAATGCTTATAGATTTATGCCACCCACTGATCCCGCTTCATTTCCTTAATGAAGCTTCTTAGCTTCTTAGCCTTGGTGATAAGCTTCTTTTGCAGCAGTCCTAGTTTGCTACAAAGAGGCTTCTATGACAACTTTAAAAGCCCTCTGTTTTGCCTACTGCTCTCTTTCCCTCTGCAGTTACCTTAAAAGTGCTTTGTGGATGAGCAGATTGCAGGCCTTAGCTTCAGTTTGCTTACAACCATGGTTGCAGAAGCAAGAAAGGCATGGCTACATTTGTTATCAAATCCATGCTAACTGCAGGGTTGCAGATCTGTACACCAATATTCTTCATATGGCTGAGACTTTGGCACAACCACTTGTAGCATAATAGGCGTCGGCCACTCTGACGTGACAATTGCCCCTCATCACAAGATCAGCCTGTCCTTTTACCCTTTCTTTCACCATAATCCGATTTCGCAGAATCGGTAATCAGATCAGTCTCCAAACAGAGTTCCAGCAGGTCAGCACAAGAACATATCAAGGAACAAGTGGGATTCGAAATTTAGAAATGCTTTTGTAAATCATTATATTAGACCCAATTGGAAGGTTAAAATATCATACCTTAACTTGCCACCTTGCAATTGGCTTGTCGTCAACAACCAAGTCTATGCTTTCAGATGGTTGACCATCCTCAGCAGGAATCTGGCAGTCCACAGCTTTATTACTCAAAAAAGTAGCCTTCGTCAGTTGTGGCACAGTTACAACCCATTCACCATTGGCATGCTATGCTCAATAGATAAAGGAAATCAAAAGAAATAACATTAATTCTTTTAACATAAGAAAAAAACACTGTACACAATTCTCATATGAATACAACATTCAGTTGTTATTTCTGTAGGTCCAAATTTTCCTTTCTATTCTTGGATATCAAGTATATTTTGTGGGTGTTTCGTCCACAACATATACAGTCACTACACTTTACAGTATATTCTGTGAAATGCTTTGAGACTTCTCGAAGACATGATAAGGTGCAATATCAAATGCAAGGATTATTATTATTATATATGAAATGCAAGGAATATTATAATTATATATCAAATGCAAGGATTATTATTATTACTATCAACCTGAGATAACATTTTCTCCCTTTCTCCTTCCGATTTTGGCTGTTTTCTCCTTAAAGTGCTGAATCACACTGTGATGGTATTCATGGTGGTCTGTGTTGGGGCTGGATGATGGAGCTCAATGGTTGGGCCCTATGGTGCGCTCCATAGTAGAGCATCCTCCCATTCTTCACCTAAATTTCTGATTTTATGGCCCAGATCACAATTTTCCAGCAGTTTATGCACATGCGTGAGGCATTCCAGCTGAATCTAATCCTCCTCACCCAATGTCCATATATACATTGTGCAGCAGGACTCATTGGAGAATTTAGACTCACTTGATCATCATTTGGTTTTAATAAAAGCTTCTTACATTATTTGCATCAGTATATAAGGCAGTGTCAAATGCAGAGTCCTCAGACCTGATTGACGACCACTGTTTGAAACCTTCAGGTCGAGCAGCATTTTGTAAACTTTAATCATTTTGGAAATTCTTTTACCACAATTCTCAAAAGTGACAGAGCACTGGCCTCCAAATTAATAATTACATTCTCTTCAGTTGACTATTCCAATTTAGTTGAGGTCAGAACACAATATGGCGACTGGATATTTCACTCTATAATCATTTAAATAGATCCTTGAATGAATGTCACAATAAAAATCACAAATTTCTACTTGAATAAGAAAAGGAAAATGTTGAGTTGACACTTATAGATATTTTGAAATAAGGAACAATAGCAAACATTGGAGTAAATGTCATAAGAATGTATAACATAAAAAATGCTAGACAAAAAAAGACCAAGGTGCATCTAGTTTGTCCTTCACATTCCTGGTGGTCGCATGCCCATATGTCCCAAACTGTGCACTATATCCCATAATGTTATTTCCTAATCTGTGTTTGAAAGAATCAACACTTCCTGCTTCTCCCTAGGGAGCCTGTTCCACAGGTTCACTATTCGCTCACTGAAATGGTGTTTGGTAGATTCGCTCTGAATTTACTCTTCAATCGCAGGCCGTGTCCTCTGGTTTTATTTTGGACAAGTTGAAACAACCTATCATGGTCTATATTGTCTTGCCCCTTTAGAACCTTATAGGCAGCAATCATGTCACCTCTCAATCTTCTCTTTTCAATTGTCAATTGAATTCCGCCTCAATCTACATTGCCATTTGGATCAATGCATATTAACATTTACCTAAAGGTACATTGACAGATGCCTCAAAAAGCATCGATCTTCATCTTAATGCACTTTGATCTTAGCTTCAATATACATTTATCTTTGTTTCAATATGCATTGACATTCATCTCAATTTACATTAATCTTTACCTCAATATATATTAATTTTCGCTTCAATGTACACTAATCTTTGCCTCATTGCGCTTGGATCTTTGTCTCAATGTGCATGGATATTCATTTCACTGTACACTGATCTTTGTCTCAAATGCACATTGACATTCATATGAATGTACTTTGTCTGTAAACTGACATTTATCTCACGGTCCATTGATCTTTGTTTCAATGTCCATAAATCTTTATGTCTTCATCTGAAAGTACATTGATATTTGCCTCATTGTATATTGATTTTCTCCTAAATGCACACTGATGTTCGCCTCAATGGGTATTGGCCTTCGCTTCAGTATACATTGACGTTCAGCTGAATTAAAAGATTCTGCTTATCAAAAGCATTCCAAATCTCAACTGCAACACAGAAATTAATCACGCATCATATTCTGTATATTTCATAGGCTCTACTTTAAAACGTTACATAAACTTGTGCAAACATTTGCCCATTTCAAAGCCTGAAATAATAATAAAAAGAAATCCTTAGATTTGGTATAGCACCTTTCATGTCAGGAAGATGCCATACAATGCTTCACAGAATATGCTGTAAAGTGTAGTGATTGTGTGTTTTCATGAATCAACATGTGCCAATTTATTCACAACAATGTCCCACAAACAGTCATTAAGTGAATGACCAATTTTTGGGGGGTCAATGTTGACCAGGACACCAAGAGAAACTCCCTTCTCTTTTCGAATAGTGCCAATGGGATCTTTAATGTTGACCTGAAAAGGCAGAAGGGGCCTTGGTTTAACATCTCATCTGAAGGACAGCACCTCCAGCAATGCAACACACTCCAGGACTGCGTTGGAGTGTCAGTTTAGACTATATGAATTCCAAGACCCGATGTGAGGCTTGAACTCACAACCTTCTGATTCAGAAGTGAGAGTGCTACTGACTGAGCCAGACTGTGAATTAATAGGTACAATTCAAAGTATCCGGTTAGAAAATTGTCCAGTTTTCTAGATCACTATTTGATGTAGATTTAGTGGTGTATCCTATAACTTGGCTTACTTGCAGCTTGACGATTTCACACTTTAAGCTTTCAGACTCCATAAATCCCTGGCCGAAGACCCTCACAGAGGTGCAGTCATACCGACGGATATCGCACAATCCAGAATTCTCCAACTCTCTGATCTCAGGAAGCTGATCTTCGATATTAATATCATAGAAAGTGAATTAATTGGCACACACTACAGTTTTCAAACAGACAAGACATCTTATATCTTTCACTCATCCCAAATTGATTATTCTCATAATTTGTGATCGCATTACTTTTCTTTCCCTATATATTTTATTCTATCCTCCTGAGAGGGTGGGAGGCGGGAAGCACGGTGTTCTGGCTCCAAGGTGACATACTTGGCAATGGAATTGCAATGGCAATTGGAACTGAGCCAGCCTTGTGTGGCAGTCTCAACAGTCTGGTTCCTGAGCCAGGAAGGTCCCCAATCTATCTTTGGAATTTCCATGTGTAGGTGGGATGTATAGGATTCTCAGCTTGGTTTGAATACTCTTAAGCACGGTGATGAGTTTTTGCATGTGTCAGACATCCGGCTGACCAAAATATATATATATTTTTTTGTGATGTTTCATAGCAGCAGCTAAGAAACTATTCAAAAGTAGCCCAGTGAGAAGCAGGCACCGATTTCTCTCGCCCGTCCTTGCTGATGGCACCTTCTCTTTATTTGCCACCAAACATTAAATCAGAGTGGATCAAAAATGTGCTTACTGAAAAGCTTACCCTATACAAGAAGTGTAGTTCTACAAAGCCTCAATAGACATCCTGGGACTGCAAGTCCTACCGAAATAGTGAATGAATGAACATTGCTCCTCGCTGATAAATTGGTACCAAGGGATATAACATCCGAATTATCACTGAATAGATTTTTTTTCAAGGAGATTATTACGGAATGCTTTTCTCAAAGTGTATATTGAAGCTTAATCCGTAGCAACACTTAAAAGACAACTAGAATTTGAAAAAGAATACTACACTGTAAAAAGATACAGAGGATGAGCAAGGAATAGGAATTAGAGGTGTTAATTTTATTGGAGGTGCTCCAACAATACCTCAGTTGGATGATGGCCTGTGAGGCTGTGACTGCAACTTTTATGATTCTAAGACGATTTGAGGAGTTTAACAGCTTAGTTATTATATGAAGTGCTACTTACCAACTAATACACTGCAGTCATAAGAACTGAAACCTGAAAAGCAGGCACAGCCCCACTCAGCACACTCGCCATTGTCGCTGCAAACATTGGGGCACCTCAATGCTGACAAGATTTCCTGAGGCACATCAGATAAATCCCCAAAGTCCCTTCCATGGTACATCCCATTTTCCAATAGTTTCCTTTCGCATTCATTCTCTAACAAACTCAGGCCTCCTGCCGCCCAGCTGACATTATCCTTACGCTGCAGATCCAAGATACAAATATCTATCACATCTACTATTCGTCCACCGAGCAATTCTCCACAGGCTCTGCCTATACTGGAATTGGCTACTGTTTGCTGGCACAAGTCAAAGGCATTCGCTTCTGTCAATCCAGAAGGTGTAGGCCATGAAGGTAAAGCTTCCTGATGAAAATCAGCGGCGTGGTCCTCAGGAAAAAAATAGCTGAACCCTTCCAGATCAGTCTGAGTGAGACTCTGGAATGGGAATGTTGGTAAGAATTCATAATAGTTCTGGCGTTTCCATCTTCTGCTGCTAAGATGCCTTGTATGATGGCGTTTGTTCCTTCTAGTGTTTCCCTTTGATAATCTTCTTTCTATTGTCCTTATGTGTCCTCTGGGATGAATATGCAAGGCTTTGGTAAAGTGTGTGGCTTCGTGGAACTTGCTCAGATTCGTATGATGTCTATGTGTTAATGTTGTTGTGGATTTATTTTCAGCTTGACGTCTGCTAATTCCTCTAATTAACTCAATACTGCTAATGTATTCTGCTGTAACATCTAAGACAGGTATCAAAGTGGAAAGTCTCACATGTTCACTGCTTGAACAAGTTGAAGCGACCCCAGGTTGAGGAGCAGCATCTAGTTTATTAGAAGACTCTTGCAACACGGGCAAGTTTGTACTACAACTGCAATATTGTCTTTTTTTGAAAGTAATTGGTGAAGATGACGTTTTATCAAACAGACTCTTGCCAGGCATAATTCTGTAAAAAGATAACAATGTATGTAGTGTCATACATAATGCTATATTCTGTGTGATATTCATATTATATTGTAGGCAATAACAAATATTAACACGTTAAAAGAGATTATTAGCAACTATTACTTTTGGGCTTCCCCGATGGCCTAATAGATAAAGTCGGGGATTCACACAGACAATAGGTTACAAGATCAAATAATGATCTAAGGTGGTCTCAGATCGGCAGCAATTGGGATGTTACCATTGGTCTCAGCACACTTTGGCTTAGGAAGGAGAAAAAGCAGGCAGTATTTCTCACTCCATAACCAGTGACATTCCCCATGAAATAGGTGGAGTGGTATCCACTTTATGATAGGTTTGTGCAGGGCAATCCCTTCATAAGGCTGATTCACTTGTAAGATGGGTGCTCTGTGGAACCTTGTTTGGTTTTAGCACACAGACCAGTTGGTTGTCACTTGCTAAAATGTAGCCGACTTATGAGTCATTGCCAATCTCACCTCCTGTGGGAGGCATTTGCACATGTATGATATAGGTAGGAAGCACCACTGACATTATTTCATGAAGAAAATGACAACAGTGGAGTTTTGTCACATAGCGTGCATGCATAGCATGCAATAAGTGACAGGAACTGGAAGTAGGCCATTTTTAAGTGCAAGAAATGACACCAATTTTCTCTGCAAAAGTACAATCTCTATACTTTAAAGTATATTCTTTGAAGCACTTTGAGACATCCTCCCAACACAAAAGCTATTATATCAAAACCAAGGATTATTATCATTATTATTAGTGGTAAACATTCCTCCAACATGGAGAAAGTGACATTGGCAGGTGACCTGACAACCCACACACTGACCATTTTTTACGCACTTTATCATAACAAAGGACCCGAGACATTGGACGTAAGCGACTGTGTTCAACCAGAGTCATCCTGTATATAGCTTGTGGAAAGTAACGAATTGATGAGCTGAATGATTTTTTCCTGTTGGCTGCTTCATGGTTTTAATCACAGTCACTCAGAAAATGATGGAAAAATTTGGTTCGCACATGGGATTTAAGTTAGAGATCAGTAACTAGATATAGACCTGAGCGTATTTTAAGGTACTCTTAAACCAGTTTCAACTCTTGAATAATTCTATTTCATGGATGAATAGCTGCACTTGATTTTCTTGCTGTCTCTTCATTGGGATCTCAATTTGTTCATAACACGGTTGGTAGCTACCGCATAGCATAGAAAACCACTGAAGTAATAGTCTCATTTGAACATAATTCATCAATGTCGATTTTCAATGAATAAAATAATATATATATAATATTTAGATTAAACATATGCATTAATATTACCTCCAATCTTCAATGAAAGCATCCAGACTGGCAGGGATTTCTCGATCGAGAAGATCATCTGGATTATGAAAGTCATTATTCATATCTCCATCAAATGTGCCACATAGACCTCTAGTGTTCTGGAAGTCTATGCCCGGTGCTCTGAGTGTTAAACTCATTCCCCAGTCACTCACATCAGCGCGGACAAATGCTCCAGAAGAAAATGTGACCTATATTAAGAAACAAAATGTTAAAAATCATTTCCAATCTTTATTTATGTAATTGATGCATTTGCTGCTTCTATATGAATTCAATGACACAAATGGTAAAGTGTTTTGAAAACACGTAATTAATAGGGATTGGATCTCTCTCTGCAATCATTGAGCCGCCATAATAATAATTCTTACATATAATACAATGCCTTGCATGTTGAGAGGACATCTCAAAGCATTTCATCTTATTTACTGTAAAGTGTAGTGAGCAGCCAATTTGCGCAGTTATGTCCCACAAACAGCCATGGAGTTAATGACCAATTTTATCTGGGGGATTGTTCGCCAGAACATCCTTCTCTTTTCGAACAGCGAAATGGGATTTTTAACATCCAGACAGGACCTCAGTTTATCGTCTCATCTGAATGACAGCACATCAACAATGCAGTGCACCCTGGTTTTGGGGGTTCACCTGACCAGAGAGGTCCAACTTGTGGCCCGCGGGCCAATTTCATCCGGTACTCCCCCCTCCCTCCATTTCATCCGCTTCCTCTGTAACCAGTAAATGTTGTGTTATATTTCTGGGAAAGGAAGCACAAAAATATTGCTTATGCTGTCCGCAGACGCTTCTCAAATAGGGAATCTGTCCCTCAGCAGCCAAAAGGTTGAACCATCCTGACCTAGACCATAAGTTCCCGGTCCCACAACCTGCTGACTCAAAGAGGCGAGAGGACTACCAACTGAGCCAGGCTGTAAAGTTTGCTTATTACTTCAATTATTTTTACACTTCACAGAATGTATAGGTTTATGTTTGTAATTCAATCTATGACTGAAAATTGTCAAGCCAGCTGGGACAAATTGTGCAGAAGCTAAATAGCGGACGGAAAGCAAAGAATCACATTGACAGCTGCTGCAAGGTCAGACGATGCCCAGATGTTGCAATCCTGCTGAAGTTCAATACTCATAAATACATTATTAGCTTGCCAAGAAATGTTATGCCTTGAATCATGACTTCTGCAAGGTGTATGGGCATAAACATAACAACTGGTAGATCTTTGTAGCAAAGCCTATCCATTCAGCAATTCGATCCAAACAAATAAGGCAGAAAAGTTCTAATGAAAACATATTTCACTACAAACTCCTGAAATATCTTGCTGTCTTTAGTTCAATTTTAACACAAATATTTTGTGGGCTTAGCATTAATTTTTGGATAACATGCCAGTATGTTATGGTTCAATCAGCATTTTATACTGAAATGCTAGATACAAAATTCTATGCAATGCTTAGTACATTGGTATTTTGTGTGGTAGTTTTATGCCTGATCTCCTCATAAAGATAATTTCCAACAAACGTTTTGGAAAGCAATAAGGAGGAGCGAAAAATCTAGCTGATTTCCTGCTTCCCACTCAAGGATACTGAGGGCAATTGTAGCACCCTTACTGTTACCATAGTTCAGTGTGTGCCAAACCAGGATACATTATTCAGCATAGATTTGAACAAGTAAGTGTAACCCAGCTTCTCTCCATCTCCCAGTGGTTAAAGGCCTTGCTGAGTGCAATCATACAGTCTGGGAGGTTTCAAGTCTATGCTGACTTAACTTTTATTTTATGACCACTGGATGATTAATGGGAAGCAGCCCATAGGTCTCAGGATCATTTCTAAAAATGCCAGGGCTTCACAATATGAAGCGACCTTCTGCCATGCCTCAGTTATACTGAAGCCCTATGGTATAAAGTCCAGTCCAAGCAGGTGAAACTGACAAAAAAAAGTTAGTTGCAAATATCCTCCATGATAATCCATTATTATCTCAGCATAATAGGATTATACTTTTTTTATATTTACCATGTTCATAGGAAGAAGTAATTGTTTTTGCAAAATATTAAAACATAAACATGGGTCGGTAACCTGATTTCAGAAAGTACACTTCCACATCAACTTTGAATTTTCAGTAAGCAGAGCAGCCCTCTCTAGCATGAAGTCAAGTAAGGTGTTATGAGGATTTAGACAAATTTACACAAAGCATATTTAATGAAATATGCTGTGTGCATATAAAAATACAAACAATAATCTTGCATTTGATGTAGCATCTTTCACATCAGGTCATCTCAAAGAACTTCGCAAGATTTACTGTCAAGTGGACTTTACAAATGAGCATAAAAATTGTAAAAAGCATACTGTAAAAAACTAGTGTTTTGTAGGCGAATGTGATTATTTGAAAATGGCGTCATGCACTATTTTCTTAAAAGTTGATTGAACAAAGAGCTGACAAGCTGGTTCTGAAATAGGCAATTTGGAGTCATAGAGGGATCCTGTCTAAATGTAAGATGTGAACAAAGCTAATTTGATTGCTGCAAAATGCCTCCCATCAAATCGAGTATTTCTCTAAAGTTCAAAGAACAATGATAGTTTGCAAGTGTGAAAATTGTCTGAGGGAAGCGGTTAATTGGTAAGGAGGGATAAACAGCAGAGATGGAACAGTATGTCAGAAAGAGAACGTGAGAAAAAGAAAGAAAGAACACAAGCTGTGCTTCATTCTGAAACATTTTTTGAAGTGGTAGTATTTCTTTAGACTGCTTTTATTTTCATTTCCATCTTTTACTTAATCCTTTACATTCTGTGCTGTGTAGAGTATTTTATTTTTAGCAATGTATTAAATTATGGTAAAAGTTGTAAAATGTTCAGCCTGAGAGATTCTTGATATTTTCGCCTCCTAAAGACGAAATGGTGAAACAAAACCCAGTTTCCTATTGTAGTTTCTGGGCCAGTGTGAGCTTATCATTTGCAACTGTGGTAAGTAAGTGCACACTGCACAGGACGACATTGAGTGCAGTTGAAATGGTCCCTTTGAAAGTTGCAGGCGACAGAGAATATTTAATAAAGCTGAAACCAGACAAATATACAAAATTATGACAGAAGTTGATAAAGCAATGAAAAAAGCGTTTGGGATCCCTAGCTTTATAAACAGAGGCAGAGTACAAAAGCAAGGAAGTTCTTCTAAACCTTTAGAAGTTACTGGTTAGGATTCAGCTGGAGTATTGAGTCCAATTCTGGGCATCACACTTTAGGAAGGATATCAAGATCTTGGAGAGGATGCAAAGGAAATTTACCAGAATGATACAAGGGATGAGGGACTTTAATTATGTAGAGAGACTAAAGAATCTGGGATTGTTCTCCTTAGAGCAGAGGAGGTTAAGGGGATATTTAATAGAGGTGTTCAACATTATCAGGGGCTTTGATAGAGTATATTGAGGAGAAACTGTATCCACTGGCAGGTTGGTCGGTAACCAGAGGACACAGATTTAAGAATAATTGACAAAAGAACCAGAGGGGAGACAAGGAGGAATATTTTTACCCAGAGTTGTTTCGATGTAGAATACACTGCCTGAAAGGGTGGTGGAAGATCCAATAATAAACTTTCAAAAGAGAATTGAATATTTACTTGAAAATGAAAAATTTGCAGGTCTATGTGGAAGGAGCGGGGGTGTGGATCTAACTGGATAGCTCTTTCAGGGAGCCGGCACAGGCACAATGGGACGAATGGATTCTATGATTCTATAAGTGCCCTCCAATATAAAGACAAGTTAGGTGCCATAAAGATTTAACAATTTTTCTTTTGAGGAAATTTACACAAAGCAAACTAATGACATTTGCTGAGTGTGCATTGAAGTGACTCACTCTAATAGGGTGCAGGATTTGATTTATTTGCCTCTTAGAAAACCTGGACACAGTTGGTCTGACCACAGAGCCAGTACCTGACCTCTGAAACCTCATGTGCGCAGTTATAATTGATTTTTTAGTTGCTCCACGCTCAATTTAACTTGGTCAACAAAACATCAATGTATCCTACTTTATAGCAAGTTCTAGTGACTTTTCAAGCAGAATATTATTTAAAATGTATTAACTCATGTTTCAGCCCCCAGAAATATATATAAGCAATATTGTTGCCTGTTTGGTTGGGTTCCTTACACCAAGGTGCTGTTTTTATATATACGTTTGCATACAAAATACAGTCGCTCCACTTTACACTACATCCTGTGAAGTGCTTTAGAATGTACTCCTGACATGAAAGGCATTATATCGAATGCAAGGATTGTAATTATTATTAAGTATTGTTGTCAATGGGACAGATATGAACAATGTAGGTGATAATATCCTTTTTATTGAATTAGAAACATTTCAAATGATAGCTTTTCAATATAAACTGGTTGGAATTCCGCATCATTTTGGGGGTTAGGTTATTGCAAACAATTGCTTATTTTCAATTGTGCTCATTCAAAATATTTCTACTTGTACTATTAATAATCCTTATATTTTAAGGCACCAACATGTGGAGTATCTTTGCACTTTTCTATATAGTGCAGTGTCTGAATTAGTATACCATTATTGGTGACTTTTCACATACCTGCCCCATTTATGATACTCTGTATATTTGTATATTATCAGACTTCAAACCTATACCAAGAATCACTTATAACAAACAATATTCAAACAATCTCAAAAACAATATTCAGTATTCATTTTGCTTGGATCTTACAAAAACTAAATTCACAGTGTTTTTATTTATTTTGGGATCTTAAATAACATGACAGAAATATTTACTAGAATTGTTTTACAAAATTTAACAGCACAATTTGATTGAAACAGAAATCTTCCTATCAATTAAATCACTGGACTGTAATTTCCCTTTTTACCTTTAATTCCAGTATTGGAATAAGAAAAAAATATTATTAACTTACTGTTACTTTCTTTCCTTGGTAAGATTCAGTAATCTTGACACTGTTACCCGCTATGTCTTGACTCTTCACAGATAAGTGTGGCCTGGTTTCATGCAGCTGCCCATTGCACATGTCAAAAGCAATGACATCTCCTCCTTCTTTAGCCACGAATCCACAGTTACAAGAAGCTGGATAATGAGAGCTCCCACAGTCCCACTGGCGCACGTGCACTTCAAAGTCACGAGCAACACTCTTATATAGCATGAAAGTCCCAGTCTTGTAATTGTCATACCGCCTGGAATTGAGAACAAAACATGTTGTAATATCCAAAAATCCTATCATGTTATATGGAAACATTGCAAATGTTTTAAGATTGAATCAAATGCCATCCCATTGCGTAGTGAAATATCATACATCTTTAGAGCACCACAACGTGTCAAAATGTCTCAAGAGTACTGCAGTTATTACTGTCAATGTAGGGACTGTTTTTTAGATAATACAGCAACAATTTTGGGCACAACTTGGCCCAACAACAGCAATGAGGTGAATAACTANTTTTTTCTGATTATTGACTAGGACATCAGGAGAAACTCCCTTCTCTTTTTGAATCGTGTCATGGGAACCTGGTCACCTTTACAGGCAGATGCTTTTATAGCATTGTGGTGTATTTTGCACAGTTCATTCAGAATAATGAATGCTTCAATGAACATCAAGTGATGGGTGTTTTAGTGTGTTAGGATTGTCAGGTTTAATAACATCACTGCAAAATTTCACACAATTGAAATTAAAAGCACAATTAGTAATTAAACTATTGCAGAGAATTACAAAACTATGAATTAGAGTGTCAAGATGTAGTTACTTTAATGTATAGCACAAACGTGATATGAATTACACAGGTATAGAGCACTGCTATGTATCCCAAATTGGAATCAGAACTAATTAGCAAAGGTGTCCTGTTGCATATTAGAAATGCAGGAAACAAGCAGGTCTACTTAGCAATGTCTATTTTCTGAGCAACGACCAATGTCCTGTGAACTCCAACCTATGCTTAAATGTGTTTAGGTTGAAGTAATGAAGGAAGCAAATAGGAATACTACAATGTTGCGAGGTAGTCAACAAGGTGCATTGGCATGTTGATCTAAGCATGAAACTTGCAGAGTTTATCTAGCCTAAGGATGGAAAAAGCTGATGGGCATTTGTAATTGTATTTGTGGGATTGGATGTACATACAGGGCCTTGTACAGACACTTGACCCTACATTACTGGTGCAGAAGCTGCAAGTTAAGGCTTTTAACAGCTATAGGGAACGCAGACCTGAGTTACACTGATCCATAAGTAAGATGATTTAATTAACAAGGATCAAGTTCATCCTTGCAGCTGGTCTATCTATTAATTCAGATATCTTACAGGACAGGTATTGCCCCCAGCTCTCATACCTGAATCTATCTGAGAAGTGGTTGACCGACTCTCCCCACCGCACCCCCGCCCACACACCCTTTCCGTTTGGTGAGCTTACCACAACAAGGGCAGTGTTTAAAGCAATGTTCAGCAATCTCAGGTAATCTGCTGGCTTCAATGCTCTGCGCATAATATCTCATGTTGCCTACCATTAATACAGGGAAGTCAGGGGGGCTATAAACACATAAATATGGAAGAAATCCTGAGCTGGACATTTCTTGCTCCAGGATACCCAGGACCCAAAACTCAAGTAATGCCTGAGGTTGTTAGTGGTGTGTCAACACTTGATTGGCGCTTGATTCAATAAGTAACATTGGCCAGAGGCAATATAAATCTTTAACGTAGCAATCTCAGCCAAGGTAAAGGCTATATTTTTCCACCACCTGTGAATCACAACAGAAAATCCATTAATGATGATGGACACCTTTGGAAGCTTTCTCATTCCCCCCCCTTGTCTTCGAAATGCAGCAGATGGATTCTTGTTGGCACCTAATTACGCTCTGGATGATACATGCAAGCCTGAGACTGATAACACACCATTTATCCTCTTATTTGAAAGTTGGTAATGTTGCTAGTGGATAAAAGTAATCTGTTTTAGGCAACACACATCACAAGCATTTCATTACCTGCAGCTCTAGTCACATGATAGATGCTTCAATATGCGGCAGTGCCAAAGTAGGCGTCTGCAACCTCATTAGGAATTTAAACAACTTTTCCCATTTTTTGTCTATATTAGCCATGCTAATAATTGTCTATAAGTAGTTGTTCCCGATTGATCATGATTCCTTTCTGATTGTGAGCTGGTGAAACTAACATTAAAAGCACAGAACAAATTATAATCTGTCCAATATCGTATTTATTTACATTACTTGGAGATTGCTTGCACACAATATGTTACCCTGAACTGGCCTTTCCATTTGAAGTGCGAGTGCTGATTCCTTTGTCTGTACATTGATTGCATTGATTGTCTTGTGTCTCTGCCACTGTTGTGGGAAATGATTGAGGTTGAAGAGGATGAGGACTTGGATTTAGTACCAATAATTAAACACCTTTGAGCACAATACAAATCAATTTAGATTTATAAAGCACCTTTCACTTTGGGAGGCGTAAATTGTATTGTACAAGCAGCCAATGCTGTCGAAACCGAAAGAACAATATTGGCACCACCTTGTGGTTTACGCTAACACTGGGACACCCAGCAGCTTGGAAGCTACAGTTCCTTTTCAGCACTGTGTGATGTGGCTGATGAAGCAGTGTGGGAGGTGATGTCTCCTTAGTTTGCAATGACACTGATGAGCTACCGTGTATGACCACATCATTAGGCTATCGAGAGTCTTGAGATGTAATGCTTTATATCTGAAGGCAAATCAACATGTATCGATCTCAATTTTTTGTGGGGCTTGATAGAAAAGGACATCAGGAAGGGCCTGGCAGCACGTCACCTGACAGCCCTCTCACATGTGCAACAGTAATTACTCCTGGGAAGCACAGACGTCATGTAATTAATTTTATAACAGAGACAAATCAGATGAAAAGAGACAACACGGTATGTAGTTACCTGCCATCAAATGTAATCAGGTGTGGATCAGTAAATGAGTAACAATAGGCAATGGGGACGTCCTTTACTATTATCTAAAAAATAAACAAAAGATAGCAATAAAACCTTTAACAAGGTCAGAAGAAAAACATTCACATTGATGAGTACAACAAAATTCTCCACTATCAATGTAGATCAAGGTAACAGGCAAAGACTTGGAAACTTAAAGTACCAGTCAAAGATCTCTTTGATGACTGCACCAACATATTTTAGAACAATAGCTGCCAATTTCATTTACTTGTTCTTTTTAAGTGAATTCTTTGTTTTATATTTATATCTGTTCGGCACAATTAATGACATTTGAATAAATCTGGTCACTTAAACAAAGAGAAATATTAGTCCGTTATGAGATATAGAATATGAATAGATGGATTTTTGGCCTGTGATAATATCATGGATGATAATATCACATGCACATTACCTCTACCATAGTTCTTAGTACACAAAACAGATGCTATATGCACTTTAATTTTTTAGTTGGACCAAATCAAGGGTTGCTATTTTACTTTTTGTATTCAAAACATGCAGTATATACACTTCAAATCGGGTAGGTGGGTCTGAATGAATTGCGCTTCTTCTGTTTTATATAATTTTACAGTTCTAAACTGAATGGAAATTGAAATATAAATACACGGTTTACGACCTGCACAGGTTCCAGGACATAGTTATTCCACAAGAAATTTTCATTAGTAAAGGGCCACGCCATGATTTCAGTCACTCTGTCACCATCCTGCGCAAAATCCATGACTGCTGAATAGTAAATGGTCGACCGGGAACATATGCCTCGATTGCAAGGTGTTTGGAGCAGGTCCACATGACAGGTTGAGAGAACAAGGTCTGATCCCGAATATCGTGTACCTGGAACATCTGGATGAAATTAAATCATAAATTGAAAACATTACGGGGATACACCAGATCACTCTGTTTATCCACATGCATGTACAACTGAGCTAAACTAACAAGTCCATAAATTGTTAGTGAAGGTTCATGGAGCTTTCACGAAAACTAATGGGACCTGATTCTCAGTACTGTCATTCGAATCTATCAGTTCACATCAGAGTGATCAAAGCTTGATAGTCGCAAGACATGAAATCATTTTCCCAATTTAATGCCTACTACAGCATATAAACCAGTTCAACAGAAGACAACATGACAAGAGAATGCTAATGCATTTACAACTGCTGATGGAGATTGAGCAGCTAAATTAGAATGGAAATCATATGCATTTTACAGTGCTATTACTTTTGGACCAATCTTACACTGCTCTGGACAGAGCTTCAGTACACATCTCCAAGAATGACTGAGGTAGGAGCTTACTTCCCTCTGGTTTACTCACCAGTCAAGCGTAACATCCGTGAATAGAATAAAAAATTAGAAAACGAATCAAAAGTGGGTTGAAATAGCTCGCAAACTGGAAATTCAAAATGAAATCAAAATCTGAGCTAAATTGAGACTATCTGGATTTGGTGTATGTTATAAAACTGTGCAATGAAGAACGATTTCCAAGTTTATGTCCTCCTACAGCATTGTTTTATATTATAAATATCTAGCTAATTATATTTGTTCAACACAAGTAGTCCGGTCGATTTGGCTCTCACCCAGGAGAGAATCAGTGTAAGGGAAGATACATTTCCATATTTGATTCCCAGTCCACTTTATGTAAGTGCTCCCAGGTCAGTTGCAAGGTAAATGTTTTCTTTACATCTTAGCAACCTGAACTCTCAGAAGAGCCCCATCACCTTGCGATCAATTTATTTTCCACATTAACCATTTCTGTGTTATTTTAGTACCAATCGGCACCAAATTATGAACATTTCTTTTGTGTGTCAGGTGGTAATTTTCTCCTCCCTTTCCACGGCTTTCTTGGCTTCATACCAATCACAGATGGAAAAGCAGGAAAGTGATCTGTTCCCAGACCTTGGCCTATATCACCCAAACTCCCCCACCCTGCGCGGGTCCAAATCCTTGACTAACCAGATCTTGGGACATCTTCCCGACCTGAAAGGCACCATACAAATGTAATTTTGTATTGTATGACATACTTGAGCCAGCTACTGAGAGTTGTATAATAGTTGACCTGTTGAAGGTTCTCCTTCAGAATTTCCCTCTTTCCTTCAAGCAGCACCTCCCTCCCTTCCACTCAAAACTATGTTGGTAACCACGTACTCCTAACGTGTTCACCTTCCCAACATAATCAGTGTTGCTACTCTATATTATGGGTAGTTCTAGCATGCAGCTTCATGCTTTAGGCAAACAGGGCTAACACTTGCTCTCAGGTCAACATGACATAAGGGCCCTAGAAACACTAGAGGATAAGCAATAATGTTGATCTCCAGTGTTGGATGAATGAGCTATGAAGAATGCCTTGATGTGATATGGGTTCTTTAGCCTTGAAAAAGAGATGTCACTGAGTGGGTTTTATGAATTGCATTTGATTATTAAAAGGAAAGAGATAGTAAACCCAGGATAATATTTTCAGACATGTCGAAGCAACAGGACAAGAAAGCATGGGTTAAGAGTTATAAAGGCTATTTTAGGTCAGACACCAGGAAGTATTTCTTGTTACAGAAGGTAATCAACAGTTGAAATTGGTTATCGGGAAAGCGTAGTGAGGACAGCATACCAGATTATTTTAAAGTAGAGCTCGATACTGGAATGGTCCACAACAAGGAAAGAGAACAAACGTGATTTTATCTATGTATAGATATATATTATATATATATAGACAGATGGAAAAAAGTGTTGAAAAATTGATCAAAGTGGTTTACCTTGACTGACTGTGTTAACCATGAGTCTCAATTTACATTCATCTTCATTCTGGGTGAACTCGGAGCAAGGGATTGGCACAGTACTTTCAACCATCAGTCTGTGCTCCTTTCCATCCTCTGCTATGGTCAAAGCCTCTGGGTGAATCTGCCAAATTAAATAACTCACACATCAGTTGATCTTGATGTTGCATCTGCAAGTGCTGCTTCCTAGTACACTGCATTATTGACTGTTTATTGTCCTTCATGTGCAGATTATGAATTTTTAAAAAAATCAATATTATTCATTAAAAAAAGAATGTTTTCAATAGGAACAATAGGATAGATATATGGAAAATGTTTCCCTATATTGGCTTCTACTGTATTACTAATTGCTGGAAGTCACTGAACAAAGAATTGCGTGTTAATTATTTTATCTTTTAATCTGTCAATTTGTCATACATCTACTGCTAATAATCCTTGTTTTTTTTATTGTGCCTACAATACTGACACGGCTGTATACAAATTGGCTGCCAGGCTTGCCTACAAAATTGTAACTACATTTTTTGTACATCATGTGAAGCGCTTTGAGATGTCTCCCTAATGTGAAAAGCATTATATCAATTGTAAGGATTATTATTTATTATTACAATGTCAAAATGTTTAAAAGCTCTTCACAGAGAATTGCTGTCAAACACAGCAACTCTGTTTATAATAATAATAATCCTTGCATTTGATATAGCGCTTTTCAAATATTTTCAACGTCTCAAAGTGCTTCACAGAATAGACTGTAAAGTCAATTGACCGTATATTTGTGGGCGAAACGCGGCAGCCAATTGCACACAGCAGTGTCCCAATTTCCAGGCACCAATGTCCAGGTATAAATATCTATGAAGTGAATACTGTACAATACAAAATTACATTTGTAAAGTGGCTTTCACGTCAGGAGGACGTTCCAAGGTGCTGAACAGTCAGGGATTAGGACCTGGGAGAGGGTGGGAAATCAGGGAGGTGGAGGTCAGAGAGGGTAAGAGAGTGGCCGTAGGCATCATCGAAGAGGGTCTTGAGGCATGCCTTGAAGGAAGCAAGGGAAGGAGCGAGGCGAAGGGAATGCGGGATGACATTCCATACGGTGGGGGTAGAGAGGCTGAAGGTCCAACCGCCGATGGTGGGGCAGGCCAGGTGGGGGACATGGAGCAGGCCAGAGCCTGCTGAGTGGAGGGAGCGGACAGGTTGATAAGGGGTTGGAGAGGCAGGAGGGGGCAAGGCCATGGAGGGCCTTGAAGGTAGAATGAAAATTTTTAACTCGATCCTCTGAGGGATGGGGAGCCAATGGAGCCCGGCAAGGAGTGGATGTGATGGGGTCATGGAGCCTGATGTATGAAAGGACACAAGCTGCAGAGTTCTGGATGATCTGCAGCTTGTGGAAGGAAGAGTTAGGAAGGCTGACAAGCAAGGCGAATTACCAAATTATCTGGAGGATTGTTGGCTGGGAGACCAGCAGAAACCCTTTTGGAATAGCTATGGATGTTTACCAAACACCTGAAGCCTTGACTTATTGCCTCATTTGAAGAACAGCATCTCCAACAATTCAGCATTCTCCCAGCAGTGCACTAGAATCAGCTTGGACAGTGAGTTTTAAATCCTGATGTTGGGTTTGAACCCACAACCTGACTCAGAGGTGAGAGTGCTCCCAACCGAGCCAAGCTGACACCCAGCATAGCCATCTACTAACTTTGTGTTTATTATAAACACTAAAATGCTACAAAATAAAACATGCGTTTTGAGGCCTCAGTCCACACAGATGTATTGTCGTAGTCAACAATTAGTTCCAGCTTTCAATCACCAGCAAATTTAAACCACTTGCAATTTGAAATGATTTTTTTTAAAAACGCATATAGAAAAACCTCTCTTTCAATGCCTTTGTTTAATTCCGAGAACCCTGTCACCTGCAGTACTTAACCCACGAGTTATTTTTGCCTTTGTTTTGCCTGTTTTCATATTGAGTGACATTCTTACATTGTCAGGAGCTGCACATTATTTGCTCTGTTAAATCACTTAAAATGCACCTTTGGATGAGTCGAGCTGGAACTAATAATGTTGTGGGACAGGATTTTATTGGATAAACCTGGATATAATTCAGGTTTGTTTGCCTGGGCTTTAGAGAAATTTCTTTCTTAATTTATACCTTAATCCCAGCAAAGAATTCTTCACTTTCAGCAGAGGGTCCTTGAATATCTGGACTGTCCAAATAGAAAGTTGAACTTCTGCAGTAAACCTACAAATAGAAAACAAAGGAACAAATGAGTTATGATCCAGACACAAAGGGATATAAACTATTGTAGAAACCTATCAGTCCGAAGGTTGAATGATCTAGCATTAAAAAGCAGACGTAAAACGATCCTGCCTTGACCTCAGCACTATATAAACACACCCATTGATAACCTAATAAAGATTTTATGTGGTGAGGGTGGGTTTTAAATCTCAGACGTTTACGACACACAACAATACCATTCTCTGCACCATGTCTCTGCTGGTGTCATTCCGCATTCCTCAATTCCCATTCTCCTGCTCTTTTCCCAAACCCTTTATTATTTTGCTGAAAATATTGGTCCAATTTGCATTTAAATGCTCTTGATGGACACTGCTTCAATAGACATTTGAGTTGAGGCATTTCACATTCCTTTGACCCATGGCACTGAGTAAATTCTCCTGGCAGTTCCAATCATGTGGTAGAAAGGACTGCAGCTTATGGACTGGCAAGTCATTGGATCAAACACTAGTCCGTGACAAAATTGCTAGTCTCAGTTAGGCCTGCACGGGGAGGACAAATTGGTCCTGGCCTTCCCAGGGTTACGGAGGGCAAAGCCATTCAGAGATCCTGTTCCTGGTCCCTTTACAGTGCCCTCTAGTGGTTGAGCATGTGTGGCAGACAGTTTGGTTGTGCTCAGGCTTAGTTGGGCCGGTGTCTACAGTCAAATGTCCTGCCAATACTCACAGCTAAGGCATGAACAACAGCCAATTGGGAGGGGAACTGGAGGACAACAAGCCTGTGGAACCAGCCCCCAGGAAAATGGAGGCCAGACCAGGAAGGCATAGGCCAGCGAGGAGATAATTAATTTTAAAAAAATTGGACACACTATAGGTATAATAAGTTCTCCGAGACATTACCCCATGTAAATGCAAGCTTTTGTGTTAAAATAATCTTCTAACCTTGCCTTTTTTCTTGTGGCAATCCTCAATTTATGCCTTCTGGTTACTAACTCAATGTAAATTATCTTTCTTTATCTATTTTATCAGACAATAATATCAGTATATAAAATTTCCTTCATCGTTCTCTGCTCCAGTGAAAAAAATTAAATTCTCCACGTAACTATAACGAGTTATTCCTGATGTTGTCCTAGTGAAGCTTCACTACACCCTTTTGGTGGCTATGATGTCCTGTACATTTGGAGCTCTCCCCCACTCCCTTCACCTGGCCCCCTTCTTCCCCTCTTTTAGATCATGACTGAAGACTTTCCTCTTCGATCGTCCTTACGGTCACCTCCTCCCTAACAATGACTCGGCATAGGGCTCCACCACTTTTAAGTGCTCTGAATCAATGCTCTGCGTGAAGGGTGCTATATAAACGCAAGTTGTTATTGTTATACTGTAGTTCTCAAAATTAGATACAGTACTCAAGGTTTTATGGAATATTTTCTTCCTGAATTCTTATTTACATTTATATTTCAGGTATAAGGAACAATAGTGGTTTAATCGTTTGGTTAAAGTAGGGGTTTGGGGTGGAGACTGTTAGGCTTGAACATTTGAATCATCTTACCCAGAGGTAATTAATAACTAGAACAGGTAACCAGAAAGGGTGGCTGAGACCAAGGCACAGTGAAAAAAATGAAGATTGGGAGGAGTGTCCTGGCCATTAACATTTTCATATTCTGCACACGATATATCCTGCTATTTAGGTATAATAGAGCATTATATGCTCTTAAAAAGACACTCAAATTGTGAGGAACTCATTTCACTTCTCATCCTTAGTGGCGAAAGGGAAATCAAGAATATATGAATAAGGAGTCGTGAGACACTATTTATATGGGCTAACGTAATAGCTAAATGCAACAAGCGTAAGGTATTCTGTTTATATATCATTAACCCAGCATTTAAAATTAAGTTACTATAAAAATATTAATTTAATTTTAAATTGAAACTGAACTGATCCATTGATATGCCATGTCACATGAACCTTTTTCTCACCATGCTGACTGTTATCTGTTTTGACTTCATTTCCATCAACCACAAAAATGCTTCACAGAGCCCACATCAGGTGTAAATTATCAGAACTTTCTCAGGATTGAATTTGCACACATAACTCATCAGAGAAGACATCCAGTCTCACACATCAGTTCATCTCAGCATGCAGTTAACCATTTCAACTGCCTCAAAAAAGTTAGCACCAACTTGGCTGGATTTGCAACTCTGAATTGCATTTATAGTTCAAGATGAAATACTCATTTAATTGAATAAAAAACAATGAATCTGATCCCTAAACATTGTTTTGCTGTGACTTTATATTATAGAAAATCCCATTAGAGTAGAATAAAAGAAACACCATATTTGACAAGTAAGCTATAAAAAACAAAGTGCTTCAACACGCTATCCGTTATTCATTGTTCTGAAGCCATTCAAGTCCTTATTATAATATCTCACAACATACCCTATCCCCAAGTTGGAGATTTATTCCGTCCAGTTCTAGAATGAAAACGTCTGCACGGTGGTTTCTTGCCGCAGCTCCTCTTTGCTTCCATCAGGTGAGAGACGAGACCAAGTGATAGTAAAGCCAACTGAGCTATTGGCCACTGGGCTCTCGAGGGAACACTTCAGGTAAATGCTTCCATTATCCAATTCAGCCACAACCTCCAGACCAGCTGGTGGTGGTGGTTGCTTAGCTGCCAGAAAACAAACATGTGTCATTAGCATCAGACAATGTAATGATGGATACACTGCCCTGAGCAAAATATATTATCAGATGCAGAATCTGAAGGACACTGACAGGGTCACAAAGTCCTTTTGCCCCCCTCCTCCACCCCATGTTTTTCTTACAATGAATTTTAATTTTCTGTTGCAGATGAGTCATGTAACAATGTCTAATAGCAGTAACTTCCTTGCCAACTCCATCCATGTTACAGAAAATGTTGCATTGGACATGGATCATTTTTTGCCATGAAAATGATGGAGGTGACATCAATCCTCTGGACGTCTATATACATTTAGAACTTATACTGAATACAATTAAGTTCTTCTATATACAAGTATCATCATTCTTCCACATGTTTCAGCTGTTGGTCAGTGCATTGTAGCAAGAAATGGGGTGGCAGGTCTTTGTGAACACCCTGTGTATTGGGTAGTCATGGTATTAAGGGGTATGTTGGAATGGTGAGACTTTGGGATTAAAAGATCTGCTAAAATTTAGCCGAATAAATTTGTGGAGCAGGCTCAATGGGCTAATGGCCTCTTCTTGCTCCTATTTTCGATGTTCCTATGAAGCTTAACAATTGATCAATTCAAGAGATTTTCAAAATCCAGATCCAGACTGAAGGATAAATCTATTTATATATTGTACACATTTCATAGGCTGAAATGCACTGAGTGTAAAACACTGGTAAAAAAACACATCAAGAGTGTTGCATTGGTAAGACAAAGTGGGTAAATGTATCTTACAGTCAGGAAGGCAACATTTCCACTGCTCGCTCAGCTACCAGTTAATTTGATTGATATGGTTTTATTTCTTCTTTTGATCCCTGAAAGCAATGCTGACTCTAAGGTGATCACTCAGCACTAAACCAGCACCAGCTGTGTGATCGGCTCCAGGCTGTGACCCTAAATGCTGAAGTAGCCCATAAAACAAAGATTATTGTCGTGATAACAAATAGGTGCTTACCTCTGCACATGTCCCCAATTTCCATTTCCTCTGGGCCACAATTCTTTTCCTTTTTTGTTTTAGGCAAAACTAGGAGAGATTTAACAATAAATTATTATTGTGGCTAACGTAATGGTGAAAATAGCAGTCAGTCAATGTTGTTGCTGTTCTATATGCTTTCACATCCTGCTTTAGGAAATGCATCATAAGTCCTCTGAACCAAATCAACTCTTCAGCCTAATGCCAGTCAGCTCTTTCATCATCTGCAGGATTGGAGGTAGCCTGGCGAGGAATTTATAGCTTCTCTGCTTGTCTTTCAGAGCTGAGAGTGGTCAATCTATCCTCGAGATACCTAATGCCAGTTTGATTAATAGCTTAAAATCATGCTACTGAACAGCGGGTCCAATATTACTTTTGAACAGATTGGGCTTGTGATAGAAAGTTTTATTTATATCTGCCTGACTAAGCTGGGTCTGAGACACATGTAAATAATACGATCCTGTAGCAGGTCATTTTCTCTCTTGCAAGGATACATTGAGGGCTAATCCTCCTTCCTTTCTTGTTAGAGCGTATTTTGCTATAAAATGCTTATCTATTAATTTAAGGCCTTTTTTTAATTCTGAGGGTTTGAACTGGGGACTGCTTTCAGCTATTATCAATGGGCTTTTGTGTCAAAGTCACTCAGTTGCAATAATAATTTTATTCACGTGTCCCATTTAATGCCTAAACATTTTGTTTTGAGAAATGAGCAAATGATTTAACTTAAGAGTATTCAGACGCAGATTTTTTGCTCCCTAATTTCCGGGCTGCTTTTATCTTTATATCCTATTTAGAGAACCTATGCACTGTAAAAAGTACTTTACAACCTTGGTTGACAGGAATACATTACAATGATAAACCTGACTATGCTCTACTCTAGGAATAGCTGGATTGCTCTTCTTACATTGCATTCCAATCATAATTACTGACACCTAATGCAAACTTTCATCCATTGTTATTGGTATTAAATTGAATTTGCCACAAATTTTTATCAGTGTTCAAAACTCTAAAACACAGTGCTCAAGAGCACTCAGGAACAAAATGCCTTTATATTTTGCTCCTCCAAAAGGTGTACTTTAAGACCAAGTGACACCACAAATCTTACCAAATGCAAGGATTATTTTACCAGGAAAACCACTTGTTTGTTATGTGTTTATTTATGTGCAATAGAAAAGAAGTCGAAAAAAGGAAAAAATGGAAGTGGATTCCAAGCCATGCACAATTGAGAAGTCTAATGACTGAGAACAACAACAACTTGTACTTATATAGTGCCCTCCACGCAGAGTAGTGTCTCAGAGCATTTAGGAATCAGAGGTCTGAAATACCCTGTGTTTACAACATCACTCTTAAAATTTAAAAATATACAGAATTTTGGAAGTTCTTTAAATTTCATTTTATTTGGAAGTCAGTTTTTCACAGTCCTCAAAATTCTGTTCTCAGGTGTCGTGTCAGTCTGGCTCAACTGGTAGCCCTCTTGCCTCTGAGTCAGAAGGTTGATGGTTCAAGCCTCATGTCATGACTTTGAACTCAGAAAAGGCTGACACTCAATGATGGGAAGCTCTGCAGTGTCAGAAGTGGCATCTTTTGGATGAGATGTTAAACCGAGTCCCCATTTGCCTTTTCAGGTGGAAGTTAATTTGAAAAGTGAATTTATCCTGGTATCATGGTCAACAATCTCCCAGATAAAATTGTTCATTGACTTCATTGGCTGTTTGGAGTATTATTGTGCTTAAAATTGGCTGGCATGTTTGCTTACAGTCACTATAAGTTTCAGTAAATCTCTTCAGAGGTTTTGAAACATCCTTCTGATATGAAAAGTAAATGTAATGATTATTATTACTACAGTAAAACTTACATAAGTCTTATCTTTATAAATCGTATATATAAGATCATGACTGATTTGTACCTCAACTCCGATTACCCGCCCTTGCCCTGTATCCCTTAATCTCCTGACCTAACAAATATCTATCTACCTCAGTCTTGAAAATTTGAATGGATCCAGCATTCACAGACTGTTGGGGGAGACAGTTCCAGATTTCCCCTATCTTTGGGTGAAAAGGATAGAGCCTTTCACGTCAGGTCCCAGCACCTTGCGGGGACTCCTAACGTAGAAGGTTCTTTACAAATGTAATCTATTGTTGTTATTGTTGTTGAAAAACTGCCTCCTGATTTCACTCCTAAATGGCTTAGCTCTAATTTTAAGGTTATGCCCCGCTGTTCTGAATTTCTCACCGCCTGCGCAGAAGAACTTAATTTCCCGTGACTCAATGTGATTCCAACGCTTGCAGTAAGTATGCATGCGACGATGGGTGAAGATGACTGAATTGCGGGAAATGTAGTCTTAACCCAACATCTCATGTCCACTTACCAGCTGCAGTGACAAACTCCGCATGCACACTTATTGGCTACATTAAATAACCCATGCTCAGTGTAAATTATTGATTAAATTGGATTTTCTACGACTTCAACAGTTTGTTTGCAACTCGGACCTCATGAAAGTCATATTAAATGTTTTGGTCCCAACTGATACGACTTATGTGAGTTTTACTGCATAAATAAAATTTCAGGCAGAGTTTACAATGTTTCTATCAAACCCATTGTGGGCAACAATGTGGGCAACCAAATTTATACTTTCAGCTGTACATTGCATCGATTTTTTAATTTGATGCATATGTACCTTGGTTATCCACTTGGTTCTGCAGCAACATTAAAAATCAATTGATTCAAAGTTCCAGAGACTTGATCCTGAAACCAGCAATTGCAAACTCAGTCAAAATACCTTGAGTAACGTCTGCCCAAACTGAAGAAAGTAACGAATATGCTAGTGCAGAAGTCCAGTAATTCACTTAAACAGGGTGCAAGGTCTAATATTTTGTAACCCTTAACTTTAAGACCATTGTTTCGATTGCAAGATCATGCAGAATTTTGGATGTTTATATTCAGTGTTAATTGGTAAGTTGATTTTCAAAAATTTGTGGTAAACCTGCTTCAGGGTTAAAACCAAAGCTCTAATGGGTAGAGTGTTCCCAGCTGGACAAGCAGCTGGAAGCTTGCCAGGCAATGCTTGCAATGGCAAACTCTGTAATTTTAGCTAATTAAAATTCCTGAGTACCCCCAACAGACACTCCAGTGCACTCGCCAACTAGCACCTAATACTTTCTAGAATTAGGTAAGCAAGGTGGTCCCCCAGGGAGAGTGCACATTCCATTTGCAGGGAGAGATTTCCATGTGTGGATCACTTACATGTGTGAAACTGTCAGTCTTGTTTGGATACTTTTAAAGCATTCTGATGAGCTTCCCCATGTGTTCAGACACCCAGGTAGCCGTAAAAACCCTGAATTAAAAAAACCCAAACTCTGCACATTATTAAATCTAAAGGCTTTACGGCGAAGACCAAGAGACATTTGGGGAATCACTGCTGTTTTTGATACAAACATACCTTCTGCGCAATATCCCATACATCCTTGGGTGGGCTGCAGCAAATACAGAAAGAAGTCGCCACAGTTCCGTACGCTGACCGGAATTCGGAAAAGACAACAGTCCTTGGTTGTGCTGAAGAAAAACTGCCACGTTGCACATGCAGTCAAGTGTTTAACCTCCCCAGGTCGGGGTAGGGATTCAGTCTCTCTGAGAGACAACCAGACAGGGGCTTGAGTTCCACAGTGGTTCATCTGAACAAAGATATAAAGTTTGTTTAACATTCGGTGGTCTGCCAAACACTTTCCTATCACGCTAATGGTCATAACTACTTCAAAAAATTCCTGCATCTGGAATATTTTGGGTTTCATGCAGTTAGGAGTCATCTCCATCCTGCTGTTAAAACATGAATAATTATTTCATTTGTCTCTCAGGCTTCACCTGTAGCATCTGTCACTGATAAGTGCAGTCACTTTCCTTGCTCAATCAACAGGGGATCTATTTCTATTTCTCACCAAATATCCTGCCGTTTAAAATTTGTTTTCCAGCACTCCATATGGGATATATATATAAAGCCCAATTTGTCATTCTCCTGCACTGAAAGAACTGTCACTTCAGCAGGTCCTGTGGTAAGCTGATAACAGTTCTTCATACTTTATACCATTTGATACTTGCTTAGGATGCTTTCTGAAGAGCACTGGCTCTCTGGCACATCTCTTGTGGGCTCGTTTGAAATCAGATAGTCACAGACAAATAGGCAGACTATGTGTAAATAGTTTTATATAGTTTAAAACTTTAAATAGTTTTACAAATAGAGGTGAAAATGTCAATGTTTTATGATATGTTCCGTATGATATTCATCATTATTGAATGCACTGTGAAATGTCACCAATCTAGAATTGCTCCTTAACTATCCAGTATGCTTCCTCTCCCTGACTTCCACATTGTTGATGAGCTGGTTTTGCTCTTTCTTAAAATAAATTTTCTTTTGCTGGGTGCCCAACCCAGCTTTTAATTATGATCTTGCAAGGAGTGAAAATACAATACAACAGTAACTGTCAAGTGCAGCAACTCTGTTTATAGGCCAATGTGGCAGCTAATATCCAGACACCAATGTCCAGGTACAAACATCTATGAAGTGAATACAATACAAAATTACATTTGTAAAGCTGCTTTCACGTCGGGGTGACGTCCCAAGGCGCTGAACAGTCAGGGATTAGGACCTGAGTGGGGTGGGGGAGGGGGGCTGGGCACATGGAGCAGGCAGTCAGGGAGAGGAAGCATACTGGATAGTCAAGGAGCCTGCTGAGCAGATTAAACAGACTCAAATGTCGAATTAATTAAATAGATGCATGAAGCTAATGAGGCTGGGAAATGTCTTATATTGCATATGTTTAGTTACAATGAGCAAGTCTAACACTTAAACACTCAAATCTTTAACCTCAGCTGAAGGTAGGTAAGGACATTTTGTCTTAAAATTTAAGGTCTTGCAAAATTGTGGAAAATTCTTAAATTCAGTCTTAAATTGGAAGGCTTGTACAAACTTATATGTCAGCCAGGTTCAATTGGTAGTTCCCTTGCCTCTGAGTCATGTACCCCAGACTTGACACTCCAGTACAAATCCGGTGGAGCAATATATTGCTGGAGGTGCAGTCGTTCGGGTGAAACTTTAAACTTCCATCTGCCTGCTCAGGTGGACGTTAAAGATCGCATGGCACTGATCAAAAAGAGAAGGGAGTTTCTCTCGGTGTCCTGGCCAACAATCCCCAAATAAAATTGGTCATTCACTTTGTGGCTGTTTATGAGACCTTTCTGTGTATTATTGGGCTGCTGTGTTCAAATACACAGTCACTCAACTTCTCAGTAAATCCTGTGAAGTGCTTGCAGACATCCTAACATATGTGAAAGGTACTGCAGCAATGGCAAAGAATATTATTGTTATTATTAACACTGGAAAAAATCTTCCAACTAAATTGAATTTTCCACAATTCCACTCACTTAGATCGGTAACGCAAAAAGGTCTTATTGGCTTAGACTAAGTGTAGCTGGCCCCAGTTACCAAGATGAAAACGAACTTTCTGCACTGCCCTTATGAACAAACATTTTCAAATCTCTTTTGACAGAAGTGTCTCAGTTTGCCCATTTTGGAAGAAACTCCCTTCATGGAGAAGGGAGTTATTCTCAGTGTCTTGACCAACGATTTCCCCCAAAAATTAATCCTTCACTTCATTGGCTATTTGTGAGACGTTGCTGGGGGCAAATTGGATGGCGCATTTGCGTACAAATACACAGTCATTACACTTTACTGTAAAATGTTGTAACAAGCTCTGAGACTCAACAAAGTGATATAGCACTATATATTGGCAAGATGTTTTATAATATATACCTCCACACACACTGTTGGCATTTCGGCAGGTTTATCAAAGATCTGAAAGCGATACCATCCTGGGATTAATGAGTGGTCACAGATTAGCTCTTGAATTGCAGACTGTTGCAGTCGGAGGGAGTCAAAGTCCACACTTCTGTACGGGTTCTGAAGGATCTGGTGGCCACCAGGATAACATTCAGGAGCTGTCAGACAACAGAAGCAGTGGTTAAGACATTGACCATTACAATTAGCAGTGTTTGCTTTATTCTCTTTCTCTACCCATTGCAAAGGTTTGCATGTCTCTATTTTATGGATACAACTCTCATGATTGCTCCTTTAAATGTTCTTGCTATTCTCAGTTTCCACAATATGTTGCTTTTCACGTCCTTCCTCTTCTTCCCCCCTCCACAATGACTGAATTTTAATCAAATTTCTTTGCACTGTTTCTCAAACTAACTCAGTTCAACACAATACAGTTTACACTTATATAATGCCTTTCATGGAGTCCTGTAGCTCAGTTGTTAGAGCGCTCGCTTTGCAAGCGAGAGACCTGAGTTCAATTCCAGGCAGGGCGAAACCTTGGGCAAGTTTCCTTACTCCACACAGAGCCTAATAATAATCCCTCCAAAAAAACTAAACAATAATAAATTGCTCATTTTCAATCTACGACTGTTTGTGGGACATTGCTGTGCGCAATTGGCTGCCGCGTTCGCCCACAAATATACAGTCAATTCACTTTACAGTGTGTTATGTGAAGCGCTTTGGGACGTTCTCCTGACGTGAAAAGCGCTATATCAAATGCAAGGATTATTATTATTATTATTATTATTCATGTCAGGAGGACGTTCCAAAGCGCTAAACAATTCTGGCTGGAGCTGAGGGGAATGAGGAGTGGAAAGATGACCAAAAGTGCAGTCATAGAAGTATGTTTTGAACTATCCCTTAAAAGAGATGAGGGAGGGAGCAAGTCAGAGGGACCTGTGAATGGAGTTCCAGAGAGCAGGTGCAGACTCAAGACTGAAACTCCTCATCCGCATCAGATTTGCCTTCTTCAGATAATTTATAAGGTTTTAAAACTCAAACTTTGTGCAACCTCTTGCCTTGTCTTCCTGTTGTTCTTTTCAAGCTCAGCGGGTTACCATAATGTGAGCCTTGGCCTTTCATCTAACTTCTCAAGAAGGAAAAAAAGAATCTGAGCAATGGCAGTGCTTCAATAATAAAAAAGAGGGTTCTGAGTCTATCTGAGCTTGAGTTACTCATTTTATTTCACATCATTCGATGTTATTGTTCCCATCTTCACATGCACTTGCACATTTTTCCGTTGGTGCACTCTGGGCCATGATCCTTTAACTAGGTTCTCAGTAAAAAAATAATGGGCAGCTTTGCGCTGTATCCCTCTTCTGAATGGGAACTGATGAGAGACTGGTCAAACTCATTTCATCGAGAACTCTTGCAGCCATCAGAGAAATGATGTTTTAGTTGGATTAGATGTCAGAAGTGAAAGGACATTAATCTGAGTTGCTGCGCTGCTCAGTCCCCCTATTTGCAATGCTTTTGAAGGATCAACTTACAAGTTTTTCGTTTATCCCACAGATAACTAGGTTACATTATAAGTTTATATTTTTTTTACATTTATTTTTTTCGGCACCCAGCCTGGGGTTGTGAACCAAGCGGGGGTGGTGGGAAAATGATTAAAAGTGCTGAGGTACTTCTTGAGAAGGACCTTGGAAAAAGGTGAGGGAACCAGAGTGGGGCAGAATAGCTGAAATGGCTATGGTGAGCATCATTTAAAACACATTGGGGGAAAATTAAGGAACACAATTAAGTTCAGGAATACCAAAAATATTAGCCCAATGTTTCTTTTTCCAAAAACATTGACTACATTAGTTCAACAGCTCATAGATAATATAATTCCATTTTCATTTGAAATTGTATTTGTTTCCCCTAACTTATTTGCTTTCTAGTCAAAATCAAGATTTAGATACAGATCATTTTGTTCATTGCAAAACGAAGGTATCCAAGTAAAATTCAGAAGGAATGGAAACAAAATAGAAGTGCGGGGTTAAACAAGTGCTAGTCTTTTTGCTGATCAGCAATTTGGGGAGTTTCAGATAATGTCAGCATCACCTAATTTTCTGTTCATTTGTTAAGAAAATTGATGGAAACATTATAAAATAAAGCTGACTAGCTTTTCAGAGCCCTATTGATTTATTTAATATTGCATAACATGAAACTATTCAAAGTAGGCTGCATTTTTAATGAATTCTGTATAAAAAATAGCCTTTGATAATGCAAAACAAAACTCACAGAGACCAAGAAACGAATAAAATCATCTCTCGACTGCTCTTCAGTTTGTTACTCTATGTGATTCGTCTAGAAATCAATACAATTTTTCAAATATCATTTCAAGGTTGTTTCAAAGAATCCCAAATCAAAAGCCAAAGTATTGCAATCGTCACAAACATTACGACATATTCTATAAATGTGACTGATTTAGTTATCACTGTGTAATGATGATGATAATATTTTAATGAAATATAATGTTACCAGGAAGCTTGTCTAAGGAAATAAATATTACCAACAACAACAACTTGCATTTATACATGCCCTTCACACAAATAGCATATCCGAGTGCTTAATAGTGGCGGAGCTTGACATCGAACTGGGAGAGAGGGGAGGGGATGCATGCTCAAAGATGAAGATCTTCGGATGCGATCCAAAGGCAGGAAAGGAGGGGGGCAAGGTGGAGGGATTGAGGCAGAGTTACAGAGTTGTTGGGCAGTGGCTGAAAGCACGGCCACTGATTGTGGAGCAGAGGGTACAAGAGACATGTGGAAGGCCAGAGCCAGCTCAGCGAAGGGGGCGGGTAATGGAATGGGGTGTAAGCAAGCCAAAGAACTAGGAGGTTCCAGGGTATGAAGTGACTTGTAAGTAAATGTGAGGATCTTTAAGATGATCCATTCTGGAATAGGGAACCACAAATGCTTCCACATCTTCTAATGGGAAACTTTATTAAATTGATTTTTGCTATATATAGCAATACAGTGAACAGATCACAAAATGAAACTCCCCTTCTCTCCTAAGGACATTTGAGTATCTTTCTTGTTACTGAGGTACAGTTTCATGGACATCCTTTGGGATTTAGCCTGAGTGACCATTCTTCACCTTGGCAGTGAGTCTTAGTACAAACATCTTGAGTCTCCAGTAGAGGTCACTGAGAGTCAGAACCACATCTGATTTTCTCTTGCTAACCTGGGATTGTGAGGCCAATTGCAACATCCTAAACGTGGCTTTGGCTGAGAACAGTTAACTCAGTACAGATCAAGAAATAAATCTGGTACTTTCTCCACTGCTCACTGAATAAATTGGTTGAATAATTGTGATTCAACATATTGCATTTTCAATATGTTAGTTGCAATTCCTGTTGACCTTTGCTTTCCCATTTCTTCACCACAATTTCTTGAAGAGCTGTTTTAACACAAGCATGAACAGCACGTGTAACCTTGTTTCAGCTGGCTCTCAAACCTACATAATTTCTCTTGTGGGTCTTTCAGCTAGTGTGGTGAAACCAATACAAATGATTCAATTTGGCTCTCCCAGAATTTGATAGTTTTTTTATAATATATTAACCACAGGCTGTTTTAAGTTTCATTTTTATTTACGGCTCAAACGGTAAAGCTTTGAAACACTAAAAAGTACACGTATCACTTTAAGTGTTTAAATTATGGTAATGGGAATATTATATAGATTCATTTGTAAGCACATTTAAAAACAAGCAGAATGTTCTCTTTGATGGCCAATTCATATTACAGCACCCCAGTACACAATCTCAGATAAATTGGTTGAAAATGGAACAAGTTCAAAAGTAATCTATGTGAATTATGGGTCAGCTCATGGGATCTGACACAAGGGTTTTTAATATTCAATGTGAATCGAGAGCACCTAATATTAAAGTAAGTAAAGTCTACAAAGTCCATAAGCAAACACTGGTAACATTATGAAATAGAAACTGGAAACCTTTTTTTTATTTAGGAAATTGTCATCTACCTGAAAAACAAGTCCTATTTTGTGCGAATCAAGGGTGAGCAAAGGACAGAAAGACCATTGTAATGGAAGAGCACTGTATAAAGGGACCCTTTCAAACACAAGTGGGTAACAATGCAGTGAGGTAATGTATGTAACATGTTCACTTACAAATGCACAGTCACTACACTTTACACTAAATCCTGTTATGTGCTTTGAGACGTTTTGGCAATATGATGAAGCTCTGTTTCAAAGGATGCTTATTATTACGTGAGATACCTTTTCGAGGTGTGTTTCCGGGTTTCCAGGCATTTGACTGAAGAATTATTCATGAAAAGGCACACAATGGGGTCAAAAATGCAGTGAGTTCAGATGGGATTCCTTAATAATTTGATTTACAAATGGACACACCTCCCGGATCCCACTGGAACTATCACGCTTTACATTCCACTATATCAACGGGTGAGAGCCCAGAAGTTACATGTTGATGCTCCACTATTATCAGAATGCGAAGCTAGTGCCAGTTTTACCTGAGAGATTTGCCAATGATTGCATTCTTGCTGATATGGTCCATCTGTAATGGAAGAGCACTGATTTACGCTTAGTTGCCTGCAATAAAACTCTTTCGATTGCCAGCCACTGCTCCCAGTACCTGAAACCTCATTGGCGGTGATATTTTGGTTTCAAGCAAATTCATTTCAATTGCGGTTATTGTGACTTGGTACCTCAAGTAACAGGAAATTAGACTCTTGACTCCAATAGAAATAAACCATTTCCAAGTCCAAACTTCAAAGAGATGACCTTAAAAATCAGTGACATTAACAGTGAAGTGTTGTTGCTGTATTTATTGTGAAAGTGGTCATGTCTGGAAAGCAGCAGCATTCTGCTCAGGCCTCACATTCCGTTACTCATTGCACATCCAGGAAACACCCTGAGAGCAGAAGGACAGGGTCAGCATAGTGTGTGATGACAGACCTACTTGCATCAGCACTTAGGACATTCTGGGTAAATTGGTAGCACTTGTCCTCTGGGTTGGAAGGTTGCTGATTCAAGCTCTGTATTGAGGTTTGGAGCTCCAAGTTTAGGCTGATACTCCAGTATAGATCACTACAAGATCACCAGAGAGGGTGAAGGAGGCCTTTCAGCCCTTTGATCTCATCCTTTCAGAATACAGACTCTA